TTCCTTTGTATATCAATAAGTCTGGGCCGAGCGCTGCGGCCACGGGTTAGGTTAAGTTGAGACACTTTCTGTAAGATCCATGTACAAAATTTATAGGAGGGGGGGCCTAGGGGGGGATCCAAAAATCGTTCTCTAGGAATATACCACAATAAATGAGTACAATGCTCTAAGACATAACCGGCTGTTGACTGTCCTCTTTACAAAACGTAACAATTCTCCCGGCATTTTCTACACAACTGAACATTGAACAATTCCCGCGGAAAATGTTTTACCGCCAAAATGAAACAAGTAAACCGGTTTCAGGATAGACAGGGGTGTTCTTATTTACAAATATTTAGATTTAATTTGGAGATTTTTTAATAAATGTTTCATATTAAAAATTTATGCGAATTTGTAGTAAATATATTGAAGAGTATGATTATTTGGGAAATAGATAAATTTAATTGGTTGAGAAAAGAATTGATGGGAAGATGGTGCTACATCATCGGAACTATAATACCTCAAATTAGAACTACATATAGTCAGACAGGAATAGGAATAGGATCAATATAATTACTATAACTACAGATTTACAGGGGTGTATACTTGGGGAGCAATGGCACTGCTTTTGAGGAAATTATGGTCTAAGGAAATTGATGAACACATTCTGCACTCAAAACACAATTATATACTATAAATATCTCGGGGGCTAGACCATTGGGCGATGGTGTATTTTTGGACCTACGCCCATCCCCTCTACTGCCCATCCGACCTAAAAGCACGTGGTTTTAACAGCTGTGGTAGGTCCGATGCACAGTAGGTCGGATGGGCACGTTAAAAACAGCATATTCCCAGTAAACACAAGTCAGATTTAAAACGTTTGATTTTAGTTTTCAGTAGTTTAAAAAAAACCGTTTTTTATAATACCATTATAAAGTGTCTTAAACAAGTTTTTTTTTAACTAGTGTTTTTTTACACCATTAAAACAAGATTTTTAACCGGTACATTTAAATGGTTTTGTTTAAATTGGTTAAAAACTGCTTTGGATTATACGGGTTTTAAACACTAAGAAATAGACGGATAAAAAACGTGTAGAAATACTCTTTTCAAAGACGTTTGAAGACAAGCCATTAAAAAACGAAAAATGCCCATCAGACCTACGAAAAATGCCCATCCGACCTACAAAAAGTGCCCATCTGACATACGAAATTGATTGGCCGTCCGACAGCTACTATTAATTATTTCTACCCTACCATGCGCTATAGGCATGACAAAAGCTGCTGAATAGGTCGGATGGACAAGAAGATATGCCCATCCGACCTACAGAGCTGTCGTAGGTCAGATGTTGCAGTATGGTCGGATGGGCAGTATAGCGGATGGGCAATAGTCGACGGATGGGCAGTAGAGCGGATCAACATTACCCCATTGGGCGTATGGGCGTATGGTATTTCGTAGTGTACCGTGCGTGACCTTCCTACGCGTGCCTCTTTTTTTTTGGGGGGGGGGCATTATCGGGCTTTGCCCCTCGCCCTCGATGTACGGCCTCCAATCACCTAAATAAAATAAACTGCGGAAAAGTAATATAATTTGGCAATTTTCTGCAGGGTGTCCCAAAACATAGGAATTGACCTGAGAGAGGACTTGGAATTTGGATGTCGTCTTTGATTTCTTACATTTATTGCATGGCAAAGTATAAAAACGGGGCTGTACGTCTTATACGAGCTTTTCGACTTAAGTGATCTAGCTTTTTGTATAACTTAAAAATTGACGGAGATATTTATAGATATAAGAAAATTTTTATTTATTAAATAAATTGAAATTGTACAAATAATTTATCCGTCGGTTTTGAAGATACAAAATGGTAGACCATCATTTAAAATCTCAAGATCAGGCCTTTTCGAGATATTAGATGTTTGAACTGGAATACAACAATAATTGGGTTCATGAAAAAATGCCACATGGATCGAAGACGATATAAAAGTCGTCACTTAATTCCCATGTTTATTGGACACCCTGTAGTGTAACTTGAGTTCATCAAAGTTCAAAAATTAGTTTTATAGAATCTCCCTTTTGCCCTTATTTTTTGATTTTGAAAAAGAAAAATCATGGCCCCGGTCCCAGTATTAATATTTTTTTTTCAGGGAATGGATCATAATTAAAAGGAGTCCTTTATTGGCATTTTGATATGATTTATTTTGTTTACCATGACTTGACATAAGGAAGACATAATATTTTTATGAATGTCCTCTTATACTTCTGTAATAACAAATTTCTTTTCCAAAATCGATTTATTCTAAAATTTTCAACATTTTTTTTAATTCTAAAAAATAAGATATAACTCATTTGTTAAACATTTATATACATGAGTTAACTATTCATTTACGATAATAAGCCTTTAAGTCCAAAACCCCAAAATACATACGTACAGGGTGTCCTAATAAACATGGGAATTAAGTGACGACATTTATATCGCCATACGATCCATGCAGCATTTTTTCATGAACCCAATATTTGCAGTATTCCAATTTAAAGATCTAATTTCAAAATAAAATGGTCTCTCAATTTCCCATTTTATTGGGACACTCTGTACCACATTGTCCAGGGTATACCGCTTAATTTTTTATACACTCCAGGGGTGTCAGCAACCATTTTTCAAATATTTTATTAAGCTTTATCAAATAAAGGTCATGGTTTACCTTTTTTTCTCAAAAACCCTCAGGCATAGATTAATTAAAATAACAGATAGGACACTATATGTCGTCTTTTCAAGGTTTATGTGTGTTCGTTCACAATAACCCTGAGGCAGAAGCCCAACGGTGTTACGCGTAGTCGGCGTAAAAAAGGCACTCTCTCTGTCACGTTCTACATCTAGTGTCCTATCTGTTAATTTATTTAATCTATGTCCACAGGGTTTGCACACAGGATGAGAGGTTAATGACGACCAAAAACGCTTTAAACATGGTCCGGAAGGTGCAGTTGGTCTTCAGCCATAGCTTTAGTATAAGAAAAAGCTAAGAGATGACCCCGGCTACTCAAATACTGTAAAAAATGTACAAATATTAAAAAAAAAAATACTATATTTATGTTTTTTGTTTATAATAAAAATTTTTAAATCCATGGTTTGAAGACAAAGAATGATAGAGACAACGATCATTTTACTTTTTTGAGGGTAGTATTCTGTGTATATCTACAGGGGAAACAATCTGATTATAATTGTGAGAGAATATAATAGTAGAGGATTCAATGAATAAACATGAAACAAGACACATTCTGATACAGAGATAGATAGATAGAGACAGAGGAAATTATTGATAAATACAAAGATATATAGATCAATAAAGATAGATAGATAGATATAGAGTATACGAGGCCGGATTGGCCTCCGAATCAACTGGTGGCTTGTTACAATGCATCTTACAGTGTATACCGTAGATATTATACAGTATGTGAGAATTATGAGATTACACTGAATTTTAAAACATTTGGAGAAATTCTTAATCATAGATTTGATATTATTGGGACTTTGTATTTGTAAACTTAAATTATTAAACAAGTATAATTTAAAATAAATTTAGAATATATTATCTTAAAGCTATAAACATGAATATATTATTAAAATATTGTTAAATTTTTATATCACTTGGTTTATTATGTCTTATTGAATGTAAAATCTGACTTACAAACATGCTTACAATTTATTAGACGTTTCTACTTTTTTAATCTTGACCAGTATCTTGTTTGTTCGTGAGTTTGCAAAAAAAAGTTTAAATATCGGATCAAATTTTTTGGAAAACCTCATATGACCACATGAGAAGGTTAATGTATACCTGTCTCAAAATTTTAACTTTTTTATTTTTTAATTCAACGAGAACGAAATTTGTAGGTTAATTTTGCATGACGAGAAAGTGTTATACATAAAAAAATAAATTTTTGAAATAAATGTTAGATCTTGCAAATATGGGGGATGGATATGAAGATGATTTTGATGACACAACAATGTTTGAAAATAAATCTGGTTTGGCGGAGGTAAAGTAGATATGGTTTGGCGGAGGTAAAGAAAATCTGGTTTGGCGGTGGTAAAGTAAATCTGGTTTGGCGGAGGTAAAGTGAGTCTGGTTTGGCGGAGGTAAAGTAAATCTGGTTTGGCGGAGGTAAAGTAAATCTGGTTTGGCGGAGGTATAGTAAATCAGGTTTGGCGGTGGTAAAATAAATCTGGTTTGGCGGAGGTAAAAAGAGTCTGGTTTGGCGGAGGTAAAGTAAATCTGGTTTGGCGGAGGTAAAGTAAATCTGGTTTGGCGGAGGTAAAATAAATCTGGTTTGGCGGAGTTAAAGTGAATCACATCTTCAAAGTGCATTAATTTTGTTTGCTTTACAAATTACAACTCTATTATAGTTACATTCAGGGTTTTATTCAATTTTTAAGAAACATTTCCCGTTGAAACATGTAGGGTAAAAAAAAGTAGCTTTATTACCCTGCTATTTGAATTTTTAAATTTCACACATAATATTTCCCGCCAGGTGTGAAAATACTTTCATTTTGATCTCAAACAAACTGTGAAACAATAAAAAATTCCTGCAAAAACTGTTCGCACTTAATAATACCCAATATTACAATGACATAAATTTAGACAATCTCTATCAAGCGATTGGAATTTTACAATTTATCACAATTTGACTTTAAATATTTTAGTTGGCAAATCTTCTTAAAATGAAAATGGTTAAAAAGGATACTCCGGAAGTTGAATGGCCAACACCCGAATTCGCTCAAATAGATATTGTACAGTGTGCGCAATCACATCTCGCCAAGTTTGAAATAAACTTCAGCAATGTCTATCCCAGGTTTACACGATTTAAAAAACGTCACCTAATTCCCATGTTTATTGGGGCACCCTGTATATAAAATATGTTTAGGATATGAAGTTCCTTGCAAGCATGCCTGAATTGTGTGATGTTACATTCCTAGTAGGAGATACCAGGTTAAACATTTATTAAATAGGAATGAAGCAGAAAAATTTGATTTATTTTTTCCATCATTATTTTAAAAGCTTTTAGTATATATATAATTTTTAAATATGAATTGTACAAAATTAAAATTATTCGAATATTTTTTTTTTCTTTGGTAGAAACCAATGTTATTGCCTTTTCAAGGATAAAAAGTTTCCAGAGAGAAACAATATTTAAAAAAATACTTATTACGACTAACAAGTTATTGTATTAATTTTAAGAAGTAATAAATCAGGAACAACAAAAAATTTAAAAATTAAACGTTGATATTTACTTCATTCTAAAAATCTAAAATTAGAGTGTCGCATGAAATTATGTCTCCAGTTCCTTTTATACACTGTGATGTAAAGGTTCCAAGCTCTCATGCCAAAATTAATGAGAATTTTCCATTTACTTAAAAAAAACTAAAGCTGAAAGCAAGTGCTTTAAAATTCTGTCATGGATAATGTTTAGGGCTACACAAAAGTATAAGATATTTGAATGTGGTAAAATCAAAGCCAAGGGCGTGTTGCGACACTTCAAAGTCGACCATGTCCTGTGAATTTTAACTTTTCAATCATAGCAGGCTGCAAATCTATGATTTAGAGAACCAGTGTGTGCAGTTAGAGCAGTTTTAGCAGCTAGAAGCAGGTTAAAATTAATATTAAACATTATTATTTTCAAGGTAATTAATCTTAGCTTGACGGGTTATTAAAATCCAAAGAACAAGCAATTCATTTTAATTCTGAAGTAGATTAGCAAGTATGCATTTTGAATATTTGCAAATTTGCAATCTCAAAAGTGCCGCACTCCATTTATTCATTGATTTTATGTGGAAATAACTGGAAAAACATTCTCGTAGCGTATAGTTTTCATTTTACGAACAAGAGAGAAAATTTTGTTGTATTAAAAGATTTGCTCGAGTTCACTGAGATTTTCTAAAAGAATTTTAAAGTAAAGGAAACAAGAACTATGAAGCCAAGCTAAAGAAATTAGAGACCCTTGATTTTGTCAAATTTTGTGCCAGCGTTAACATTGAACACTGTTGACGATGATGTTGATGTTGATGTTGATGTTGATGTTGATGTTGATGTTGATGTTGATGTTGATGTTGATGTTGATGTTGATGTTGATGTTGATGTTGATGTTGATGTTGATGTTGATGTTGATGTTGATGTTGATGTTGATGTTGATGTTGATGTTGATGTTGATGTTGATGTTGATGTTGATGTTGATGTTGATGTTGTGTAGGGTGTTTAAGAAGATGCTGGTGACGAACGTGATGAAGAAAAGGGAACCTACCTACAAGGAGAATAAGTTTAGAGCATTCATTAAGAGAAGTTCTGAACCATTGCTTGGTATGCAGAATACCCATCACCAACACCAGGTACAGTGAGACCTATAAAACAGTGAAAGATGAAGACGACATTTGACATTTGTACTTAATGTTATTTTGTTTCCTTTAGCTAGTCTATATACTCATGCCTACGTCCAAACTAGTCTATACTCATATATACGTCCAAACTAGTCTATACTCATATATACATCCAAACTAGTCTATACTCATATATACGTCCAAACTAGTCTATACTCATACCTACGTCCAAACTAGTATATACTCATATATAAAAAGTAGTAATCTCTGTTCATAACTTTTGAACCCAGCGACTGATTTTGATTCGGGATCATGGTACTCTCCGCTAAAACCCAAAATTTCTTTTAGTCAGTGCTAAGGACAAATCACTGCAGTAGGCATCAAAAGTTTAAAGTGACGGGAATGTCATGGTTCATGGTTTTAAAGTTCTAAGATGTAAGTTGACTTCGTTGCGAAAAAGTTTCCAGGCAAAGCTTGGTTTTCAAGATAATCTATTTTTTAAAAGTAGTCATCTCTGTTTATCTGTTTGATTTTATATCTGATAATATACCCCTCTAGAACAATTTAACTTATATGTTTTAAACGCATAAAAGTAGTGATCTAAATATTAAAAAAGAAATTCGATAATGTCAGGGCTCAGGAGGACATTGATATTTAGACGAAAGGGCATTTATTTACAACAGTTTCTATTGATTTTTTTATTTCAGTAATAGTATAGACTAGATAAAGGGCCTTACATTGCCCGGGGAAAAAAATTTTTTTTTAAAAATTTGAACAAAATAATTTTGAGTTTTTCCACAAAAAATTTCAGCCCAATCTGTCCAGCCGTTCGGCCGACTATACGCAACATATATACGAATGTCTTGTTTTAGTATATAGATTTATCAAATCTTGTTCTGTTAACTCCACTTTAAAAATTTCAAATTTTCATCTTACAAAATTTGATGGACTCTTCAAAATTGAAGATATTAAATAATGAAAATTTAAAACATGGAATTAGATATTTCAAAGAAAACACCATGGTTTAAGAGAAAGGGTTTAGAGATTTTAAACTAGACACCATGGTTTAAGAGAGAGGTTTAGAGATTTTAAACTGAACACCATGGTTTAAGAGAGAGGTTTAGAGATTTTAAACTAAACACAATGGTTTAAGAGAGAGGTTCAGAGATTTTAAACTAAACACAATGGTTTAAGAGAGAGGTTTAGAGATTTTAAACTGAACACCATGGTTTAAGAGAGAGGTTTAGAGATTTTAAACTGAACACCACGGTTTAAGAGAGAGGTTTAGAGATTTTAAACTAAACACCATGGTTTAAGAGAGAGGTTTAGAGATTTTAAACTGAACACCACGGTTTAAGAGGGAGGTTCAGAGATTTTAAACTAAACACCAGGGTTTAAGAGGGAGGTTTAGAGATTTTAAACTGAACACCATGGTTTAAGAGAGAGGTTTAGAGATTTCAAATTCAGGGTGACCAAAAAACCGGGTTTAGCATTTTCAGCGCTAATATTCTTTTAAATTGACTCAAACAAGTGTTATAGCATAAAATTTTTAATATTTTATAGAAGGGATCATACTCGTCCTGAGTAACTTGTTGTCGTCCAATGCTTTAATTTGTTTTGAAAACTATGTCGGATAATCGAAAATTTCTCTGTTAACCACAGCTAAGCAATGTTGTTTAAGAAAAAATTAAACATTTATGTTCATAAATCTAAACCTAGAGCTTTAGGGGTAGAACCTTAAAAAAAAAAGGTTGCAGCAATCCTGGCCCGGGATTTCAAACTACTTTGCATAGACCTAAGGCCATTTTTATTGCATGGTAGCAAATGAAGACCTTTTTGAGAACTAATTAGAAAGAGAAACCTTATAGTAATCAAACTTCTAAGCATATTTAATTTTCTCTGCAATATAGACTTAAAAAGAATTTTTTTTTTGAATACAGAAAACAGAGATTTTTGAATTTTTGACAAAGTTTTACGCCAAACGGAAGCATCAAAAGAAAAAAGTTACTCACAATTCTAAAATCAAAAACTATATACTATAGAACACTTTTTAGGTCATTTTATAGAAATATTTGAACTGAAAAACACTTTTTTGGTCACCCTGTATTTAGACATACCTGTATTTAGATATAAAAAAAACTAATCCTGAAAACGTATCCAACCCCAAAGTAGGAGTTTTGAATGTCGAATTTGTGCTCAAACTCAGGATTTACAGATCTTTAAAAAGTTTAATATGTCTCAAATGAAACCGAAAGACGTTTTCCACAACACTGCATACTCAGTTCAACTACCCTACATAGCCGGTCACTCCCTTTAAAACAAGTTACATATATACACTATACAGTTCTAAAGTCTCATTCTTTGTGAGTAATCCTTCACATTGCTTGTTTGTTTGTTTTTATCCAATAAACGTCAATAAAAACGAATTAGGCATACAAATATACAGATTAGTTGCAGGAATATTTGAAAAGAAAAAGAGAAACAATTCTAATTTTACATTATTTTAGAAGAAAGGACTTCAAAACTCAAATAGTCATCTTTCACCAATTACGGAGGTATTAAATTTAAATCTAGAGATTTAGAAAAGATTTAAAATATTTAAAATAAATTTCTTTCATTAAATTTCAAGTATTAGGATTTTAAAATTTGAAACGAGAAAAGAATACATTAACCTTTAATGAAACTTTATATTCAATAGAAAAACTAAGAATCCTTTTACATCACAAAAATTAAATTAGAATTAATTTTTCTTTTCTATTCTTGTAATTAAATGCGTCTTAAAATATGACCTTTTAAAAAAATCTTTTGTTAGGTTTCTTTGATTTATCTCTACATATGACTGTTTAGTGTAGAAACGCAATTTTAAGTGATTCAAAATTTAAGAGTTGCCTGCTCGATCAGTATTTTTGTTCCTTTATCTATATTTTATACTTTATTTGCTTGAAAAGTGTTTTTTTTTCTGTAAATTTCCGCGTTTGTATCTGCTGCTCAATCGGCAAGGTGCATTTTTGAGATCCCACAATTCGAAATTTTTCATAATTTTTCCAGAGACCAAAAGTTTAGAATGTAATCAGGGTTGTATAATGAAGAATTAATTGTAATTACATTAACAGTCCCTTAGATTTGTGTATATATAAACATTTATATGGATAATGTTGATTATTTGAAAATGTATTGTAGGGAGGACAGCAGCATCAAACATTGATAATAGAAGAGTTTGAGCCTGATGTGTTTAGACAGCTAATAGGTAATCCATAAAGGGAGTGTGCGAAAAAATGAGAAAAATATTATTTTGAATTTGTACATGAGTAAAAAAATTCTCGGTTTTAAAGGACTTTTTACGATTTTATATTTAAAAGTAATAAGTATCTACCTATTTATTGGCTTTATTTTTCAAAAACGTAAAGTGTAAATATGTAATATTCAAAAACGTAAAGTGTAAGTATGTAATATTCAAAAACACTTACTTTAACTTTCAAACTTTCCATATTTGCTGATTATTTCCTGGAATAATTTAAAAATAATTTTACACTTCATTAGAACATCTTTTTTTTAATTACTTAAAGGGAGTGTCTGGCTAGACATAGTAGTTGAGCTGAGAGTGCAGAGTAAAAGCACAAAATCGATCTTTAAAATCCTCCCGGACCTCCCTCCAACCGTGCCACAACCTGCTTTTCAATACTGCACTCTTAGCTCAAATACCATGTCTAACTAGACACTCCCTTTAATGGAGTGAAATATTCTTATCATTTTTTGTTCCAGAATATATTCACACTGGGTGTGTTACTCTTCAACCTCGGACTCTGTTAGGTAATTAAAGGGACTGTAAACATAATTTCAAGTGAACCTGCTGTTAGGTAATTAAAGGGACTGTAAACATAATTTCAAGGGAACCTTCTTTACAGATTGGCATGTAAGATTCGCAACGATGTTTGATTCTATTTTTAAAAGTATTAAATCAGAAAAGTTCCTTTGTTGTTTCTGCAGCATAAATCCTCAAATTAGTTTTAGAAATCACAGTTAAAAATATCAATTTTCAGATTAAAACACAAAGATGTCTTCATAATATTTGTTAAAGGGATTTTTGAAGTTTGGAACTCCAAAATTTATACAATTCACTTAGAGGTTCACTTGGAATATTGTCTTGGATGGTCCCTTGCAGTTTTTAACCTTTAAAGCCTGTTATTTCTGTTTTTGACAATTTCAACACTGATATGCGCGCAGGTGTGATGAATGCCGCGGATTACTATGGTTTAGATGAACTCAAATGCGCATGCTCAGGATTCATTCAGGTAAAACCTTTATTAATATTTTATTCAATACAAGCATGGGAACCCAGCCCTGCCAAGGTACTCAAGGTTATTCCCGCCGTTTATACCTGTACTTGAACGGTTTTACGGTTTACTTCGCAATTAAAGTCTTCCCACTCAATTAAGAATCTCAAAACCAAACTTAGAACATTCCTGTGGGTCTCCCGAGTTCCCCAATTAAAATTTGAGGCAAATCGGTCCAGGGGTTCCTGAGTTATGATCGGACAAAATAACAGACAATCAGAGATTTCAACTTTTTCTATAAAGATTTTAGGTTCAATACTTACTAATAGCAAACATATTAGATATAGAAAAACAATCAGTTTTAAAATATTCACTTTTAAATTGAACAAAAAGCTGGATTAAAATTACACAGGGTATCCACAAAGAATGATCGACTGTAGAAGTGACAACAGAAACTCTTAGACGATCTGAAAGTAGAATTTTGTCTTTTGCCTTGAATAAAATTTTTAAGAAATATACTGAAAAAAATAGTTTACACTTGCTTTGAATTAAAAATGAAAGAAAAACACCTTTAATAAATTCCGTACAGTCGTCTCTGAAGTCCCTTTCTTTGGGTTTAGTATGAGCAGGCACCGTACATGAGTAAGGGAGATACTTAAACAACAACATGAGAATAGTCTGAGTCTGCAAGCCATGAGATAATGCTCAGTTTTGGTTACCCACGAAGGAGAGTTCAATGACGACCTTAAACTTATTAAAAAATAAAAAAAATTGAAAAAAATAATAATTTTTTTAGCCTATAACACCCCCCGGCCACCCATGAGTATCCACAAAAAGATCAGCCCTATCGGTCCTTTAGTTTGGCCAGCTATAGGCAACATATATATATAGGAACTTCTTGTTTTATTATATAGATTAAGATTCAAGATTGAATTGTGTCTTAGACCTTAAATAAAGCCTTTAAATGAAAAACTAGGAAAAGATTCAAGGAACAAGGAATCATGAATAATAAAATTAGTTTGCAAAATTCCGAATCAGTTTTTTTGTCAGTTAATGATCTTACCATTTTAGTTCAGTTTATTTGTATTTCAATGTTGTATTACTGTGGACACTGTGTAGTCAGTTTATTTGTACTTCAGTGTTGTATTACTTTGCACACTGTGTAGTCAGTTTATTTGTATTTCATTGTTGTATTACTGTGGACACTGTGTAGTCAGTTTATTTGTACTTCAGTGTTGTATTACTGTGGACACTGTGTAGTCAGTTTATTTGTACTCCAGTGTTGTATTACTGTGTATACTCTGTGTAGTCAGTTTATTTGTATTTCAGTGTTGTATTACTGTGTATACTCTATGTAGTCAGTTTATCTGTATTTCAGTGTTGTATTACTGTGGACACTGTGTAGTGTGTAGTCAGTTTATTTGTATTTCAGTGTTGTATTACTGTGGACACTGCGTTGTCAGTTTATTTGTATTTCAGTGTTGTATTACTGTGGACACTGTGTTGTCAGTTTATTTGTATTACATTGTTGTATTACTGTGGACACCATGTGTAGTCAGTTTATTTGTACTTCAGTGTTGTATTACTGTTTATACTCTGTGTAGTCAGTTTATTTGTATTTCAGTGTTGTATTACTGTGGACACTGTGTTGTCAGTTTATTTGTATTTCAGTGTTGTATTACTGTTGACACTGTGTGTGCCCTTCTGGCAACTGCAGAAAGATATATACAATACAAATGCACAAAATTTCTCATTCAGAAGGTAAGGAATTCTTTTTGAAAAGAAGAAAAATATTTTATTTAAAATAATTTTGACTAAGTAGAAGTTTGATAAACAAACATGTTGTTTTTTAGTTATACATACTTAATGAGTTATAAGAATTAAGAGGTAGCAGCATAAGACTTAGAATTAATTAATCTTAATATTTTAAATCTTAATGATAGAAATAAATCTCAAAAACTTGAAAGGGTTAACCCAGATGAAAAAATACCTTTAAGAAAAATGTTGACTAAAACCAATAGAGATAGAGTTTATATACCCCCCCCCCCACCTTCTCCCCATTTCCTGCCTGGGCTCTGGGCTAGCTGGAACCCCCTCCCCTTGTAAGTAAGCATACTGCTATGAATGCATTTTAATAAATATTCCGTCGTTGAGGTCCCTGTGTCTGCAAGAAAGCTGAGGCAAAAGCCCAAAGGAGTTATGCGCATGCTGCGTTGAATGACAAGACAGAGAGAGAGCATGCGCGTATTTCCTTTGGGTTTCTACCTCAGGGTTATTGTGAACAAATTAACCCCTATTTCTTGAAAAGACGACAACTAGTGTTCTATCTGTTTTGTTATTAATCTGTGATAACTATCTTTAAGGTTCTGGAATTTGTAGATGATCATGGAAATGAGGTAACGTAACTTTAGATTTAATTATATCTTTTAACAAATAAGAAATTCAAATTGACGACCATTTAATTTATAATTCTTTTCATCTCTTATTTTTATAATTTAACATCTTTTGATATTTTCTCAACTGATTTTAGAAATTTAAATTAAAAATTTCAGAGAAATTAAGTTTTCTGATAAAATATTGAAAAGAAACAAAAAATAGATTTTTGAATCTAATATTTTATGAAACTATATTAGACACTTTACCATTTATACTCGGTTCATGGTAAAAATTCCCTAAAATGTATCATTGTGCTACAATAAAGATTATTTGGTTTCCTAAAAATTTAAGAAGTCCATGATGGCAATTTTGAAATTTTTCCGATAATTCAATGCATGAGACGATCATATCTTTAGAAATATTTTTTTCAGTGTTTTGTACATAGATTATCATTTTTCAGAAGAATTTATTTCAATCACTTTGTTTTTTGAAAACAACCAAAAAAAGGCTGAAACATTATAAATTTCGAAGGAAATATCGGAATATTCAACAAACTTAAGTTGGATTTTCAGTTCCTTATTTTATTTCCACTTTTTATCTGATCAATGATGTGAAAATTATTGTCGTTTTTTTGATTTAAAATTGTAGAATTTTTATCATTCAAATTTGTTTTCCTGCAGAGAAATGCGCAACTCACTTTTTCAGAGAACCCTCAGTTTTTAAAATTAAAGCATAATACCTAATTCATTCTTATTCCGACAAAACTTTAAAGGGTACCGTTGTGAACCGGCCATCTTTGCATGCGGGGTAATTTGAAATTTCGCTTACAGTCCCTTTAATTGCGACCTTTTTTTCTGTGCTTTATCTGTGACCTTTTTTGTTTCCATTTTTCCGCACCCTGTTTTGTTTTCATTTCCTCTATTTTTTATTTTTTGTTTTTTAATTTTTTTTAACTTGCGACCTTTTTTGTTTTCATTTGTCTGCGGTTTTTCTTTCAAATTCAGTTTTTATCCTTTCATCTTTCCATCTTCTTTTCATCTACCTTCCATCATCCTTTCATCTACCTTCCGTCTTCCTTTCATCTACCTTCCATCTTCCTTTCATCTACCTTCCGTCTTCCTTTCATCTACCTTCCATCTTCCTTTCATCTACCTTCCATCTTCCTTTCATCTACCTTCCATCTTCCTTTCATCTACTGACTTCTTGTTTCTTTTCATTTACCGCCTTTTTATTCCTTGCACCTTTTTATCTTTTAATACCTGTTTTTAGTTTTTTCAAAATGAGCAGAAATATATTTACAAAGTTAAAATGAATAAATAGAATAATTATATTGTCCAAGGTTCTGAACCTTGGTTCCTTTGCAACACTACCCCAGCATGTTGTCCGACTGATTATGGCCCGGGATGAACTCAAGGCAGATGAATTCTCAAAATTTCAGGTTAACAAAGGAATTAATTGATTACTCGCCTCAACCTCTATTCAGCCAATTTTTGTATAATTTACGTCAAACTAAAGTAAATCAAACGTAAGATTAAAATCTTATATGTTTTGAATTATAACTTCTTTAATGAGCTATTGAGAAAAACAAAGATGTTTTGAATTCTTAAATAAATTTGGTTGTTTTATACTTGCGCGTAAAATCAAAACAAGGGGAGCTACGATGACACACAGTCATAACAGAAATGTCGCATAAACTTTGCCCGGTTCCATCTGAATAGTTTGGTGTAAATTTTCGTCTGATTGTCTATTACTTCTCATGTTTAAACTCATATTTTAACTCATAGATTGAAATATTTAAAGCCTCCAAACTCAGGTTACTAAAATATAAGATATAACCAATTAGAATATGAATCAAGTAATCAGTTTCTTGAAATGTTCAGTGTTCGAATTTTAAGATTTATTTATTCAAAATATCGGACCAACAAACAAGTACTCATGCCAAATATATATTAAAGGTATGTGCATAAAGATAAAATAAAAAAAGTTTGTTAATATTTACAGGCTGCATTGATGTGGAGTAAAAAGTACTGTGACACCAATGGCATAGGATTAAGAGAGGTTGGTGTCAAATTGTCGAAACTAAATTAATTTGGATGCATTTGTTGATTTAAACGTTTGTGTTTTAAAAATTTAAAGTTTACATGAACTTTATGAAATTAAATTTTATTCCATTTTAATCAAATCTAAAATTTAGTAAACCTTTGCAAAACTCTGAAAGAACCTGTCAAATCTTTCCCTGGAATGTTTAGAAAGATGAAAATTTCACTGTATGATAATTGAAGGACTGCAGTATGATTTGGTGAATCATATTGACGTACTAAGCCTAGGGGTGTCAGAAATGATTTTTTTTGCATTTTTTGAAAACGTCCTATAAACCTAAAAAAGTTTAATTTTGATAAAACTTTTTGTTCTGGATGATTGCAAATATCTATCTAAAACTTTCTTAAACCGGCACACAAATGAAAATAATGCAAGACTAGAGTAAAGTGCAGCCCAGAAAAACTTCTTTAAGTTCTAAATATTTTTGTTCAAAATAAAAATTCTGTTTGGTTCGGCAACTTTTTTTTTGCAGAATCTTTCCTACTTTCTGAAAGGTTTTACATCGGTATGTTTAAGGATATCTACTCTATATAAAGCAATGTTTATTAATACTTATTTTGACTCTAACTCCTAACTAAATGAATATAGAAAAAATATGCCGGTTTAAGAAAGTTTTAGATAGATATTTGCAATCATCCAGAACAAAAAGTTTTATCAAAAATTAAACTTTAAAAGTTTTATAGAAGTTTTTAAAAATATGCAAAAAAAATCATTTCTGACACCCCTAGGCCTCTTAGTACGCCAATATAATTCACCAAAACCATACTCCAGTCCTTCAATTACCATACAGGGAAATTTTCATCTTTCTAAACATCACAGGGAAAGATTTGACAGGTTCTTTAATTAATAATAACATAATCTTAAATAATATAAAAGTTGCACATTCACTAAAACCACATCTATCATCTTCAAATATTCCACCAACTGTTCAATATACAATATTTCTCCATTCTTGTCTAAAAATTTCCGCTATTTTTTGTTGTGAATTCCCGCCATTAATTCTTAAAAAAATCCCGCCATTAATTCTTAAAAAATTTCCGCCATTTTTATTTTAGATTCTGAATACATTTCTTGAGTACATTCAGTTCCATATGATTCCTGCCAATATACTAATGCAGGAAATACATCCTCTTGGGCTTGTTCCGCATAGGTATATTTTCAAATCAAACATTTTACAATATAGCATTAATTGATCCAAATTTCTAAATACCCTCCCAAAAAATAATAACGAAAAGGTTAATATTTTGAAATAATCAAGCCGGGCTTTTCTTACAGGATTTCATTTTAAGAGGAAACTTAGCTCCAAGCAAATACAATACTACAATAGATGGCAACGTAGAATTTGTACACTCTCAGTAAGTGATACTTTTAGAATAAAGTTCTTATCTTACAGTAAAAATAAGTGCGTTCTTTATTTTCTGTTTTTACACTTTTTATTAAATCTTTGTAAACATGTCAACTAATAATGTGAGAAAATTTCGTTTTCGTTGTTATATTTGACACGCGTAACGTCGTGTATAAAATGGTCCATTTCTCTGTTGCCACCTATTGTACTTGATAATCTATTTCTCTGTTGCCACCTATTGTACTTGATAATCTATTTCTCTGTTGCCACCTATTGTACTTGATAATCTATTTGCAGCTTCAAGAAAGATTTTACGACTGAAATAATTTGAAATAAACTATATGATAGATAAGGGGCGTATTCAGAAATTTTTCAAGGGGGGCGCTTACATTTTGTTTTCTTTTTGGTGGGGGCTGAGCCCCTATAGCCCCCCCCCCCCTGAAAAACGACTCTGATATACATCGAAATTATCATCTCATAAATACACATCTTACACAGAATATTTTTAGTATAATAATGACAGCCCTGGCTTACCAAGCTGACCCTACCAGCGTAACAATCAAGATATCTCCACTAAAAGTTAAACCGGTAAATAAAAATATCTATTTTCTTTAATGATTTTTATTCAACTCTAAATGATAATTGATAAATAAGTGCCTCAATATGACAAGTCTACATCCTTTTACCATTTGCAAATTTAGTACAGTTAGAACCTGAAAACTGCAAAGTTTAGTCTCAAGTTATGATTTGAAATAGTCCCATGAAAATGAGACAAAGCAATTGTGCAGTGCACAAAGACTAGGGTTTCTAACGCAAGAGGATTTTACTTGCGCGCAATTGCGAGACCTTGCGCGCAAATAAACGCAACAGAATTGCGCGCTATAGCGCGCAATTCCGTCCAACTTTCTATGCGTTGTCTTTCAATTTTTTGATAAAATTCAATTTAAACCTTATGGCACGCAATAAATGCATTTAATTATTGTGCAGTTCCTTTCAACAACAAAATATTCAATTTAAACTTTGGCAGTGGCATACCATAAACTGAACTTCACTAACAGTTCAGTCTCAAATGCTAAGAAAATTGAATTTAAAAATAATATTTTGTTTTATAATATTCCTTTGCAGCATGATAACCAGAAAAATCTGGCATAGGAAGACGACAGTTTAGACTCAAGCAGACCCATGTAACTGGATAAGTGATTTAATAAGTTACTAAGTAATTTTGTTCGACTTGTAACTATAATATTAAATACACTGTGATGTTGTCTTTCTGTACCATAGTTTTCTGGTTCTCACTGTAGCAAAATATCTAATTTTGATAAAACAAACCTTACAATTTTAACCAAAAACATTTCCATTTTAACGTTTATCAAATGTTAACAAATGAAAAATGTATCATATTAAATTGTTAATTAGTAGCTTAACCACAAGAAACTTTAAAATTTGAAAACTGTTGAAACAAGTGACAATCGGGCCTTGATTATTTTAAAATCAATAGAGATATTTAATTCCATTCTTGTATCTGCTGCATAAATTTGTAAGTCGAACATTTTAAATTATTGATTTTCAGATATGAAACCAATTCCGATGCACGCAATTCCGCGCAATTCCGCGCAATTCCACGCAATTCCGCGAATATTTAATTGCTTCCTTTTTCGCAATTACAGCGCAATTGCGCGCAATGAAATGACGCAAGCGGAAGCAATTGCGCGCAACAGAATTCCGATTGGAAACCCTAACAAAGATCAACTTTTAAACTGCTTGTTAAAAACCATTTGCTTCCTAAATCTTGGTTGAATGTCGTCTTTCTAGTCCGCAGGTTTTTGTTTCTCACTACAGCAGATTTCATAAAGTTTTCAAGATGAATATTTTCAAATTTTGTACAGTCCTATTCTAAATAACCCGGAATAATAAAAATTGATGGATACCTTCAAAGCCGTCCTTGATATTAGAAATAGCTTAGTAATCTGATTTAGCAATATTATTATATGAAAAAATAATCACAAAATATCCCTAATTCTGCATTTACAAATTGTGGTCTGCCATGTTTTTGCTCTTAAAAATACCAGAGATATTAAAAATTTTCTTCAAATTTCAATTTATTAAATAAAACCATAAAATGTCTCATTCTGAATGAAATCTTTCATGTCTCCGGTAATTATGAAAGCACAAAAATTGCAGACCTCATTTTAGAAATGGCAGGACTAGTGCTATTATTTGATTATTATTTGATTAACAAAATATTGCTGTAATAGGGTTACATATACGTTAAATGCCGCAAACTATTTTTTAGGTCAAAGACGATGTTTAAATCATCAATCAATTTATATTTTTCAGGTTTATATATAGAACAGGAAGCTGTAAACAAATTCATTTTTTTCAGCAGCGATCATTTGGTATGAGCGGACACCGTACCTCGTCAGTGCAAAGCAGTTCGTTGGATCCGTAAGATGTCTTTAATTATCTTTTATATTCAATTTCTTTATATTTATTAAAACATTATTTCAGACGATACAGTTCCAACACAACATTGTCCTCGACCAATTCCACGTGTTCAACTGAGAACAGATCCTCTCATTGATGTCTCATCTATATACTGACTCAAGAAACCTTTATCTATATTCCATTGATATCTCATCTATATACTGACTCAAGAAACCATTTTCTATATTCCATTGATATCTCATCTATATACTGAATCAAGAAACCTCTATCTATATTTCATTGATATCTCATCTATATACTGAATCAAGAAACCTCTATCTGTATTCCATTGATATCTCATCTATATACTGAATCAAGAAACCTCTATCTATATTTCATTGATATCTCATCTATATACTGAATCAAGAAACCTCTATCTGTATTCCATTGATATCTCATCTATATACTGAATCAAGAAACCTCTATCTATATTTCCATTGATATCTCATCTATATACTGACTCAAAAAACCTCTATCTATATTTCCATCTCATCCATACACTGAATCAAGAAACCTTAATCTATATTCCATTGATATCTCATCTTTATACTGAATCAAGAAACCTTTATCTATATTCCAATGAATCATCCATAAACTGAATCCAGAAACCTTTATCTATATTCCCATTGATATCTCATCTATATACTGACTCAAGAAACCTCTATCTATATTCCCATTGATATCTCATCTTTATACTGACTCAAGAAACCTTTATCTATATTCCATTGATATCTCATCTATATACTGACTCAAGAAACCTCTATCTATATTCCCATTGATATCTCATCTTTATACTGACTCAAGAAACCTCTATCTATATTCTCATTGATATCTCATCTTTATACTGACTCAAGAAACCTCTATCTATATTCCCATTGCTATTTCATCTTTATACTGACTCAAGAAACCTTTATCTATATTCCATTGATATCTCATCTTTATACTGAATCTAGAAACCTTTATCTATGTTCCAATGGATCATCCATAAACTGAATCCAGAAACCTCTATCTATATTCCCATTGATATCACATCTTTATACTGACTCAAGAAACCTCTACCTATACTCCCATTGCTTTCTCATCTTTATACTGACTCAAGAAACCTATATCTATTTTCCATTGATATCTCATCCATATACTGAATATATAACTCAGTCCAAAATCTTGCCTAAACCCAATTTAAGCCTCGAATGTTCAATTTACGGGGTTCAGAAGAAGATTTATGAGGTTCGGATGCAGATCTGTGGGGTTCGGACATATATATATGCATTTGGAAACGAGATCTTGTTCTTTTGAGTCAATTTTAGGGACGGTTAGACAACAAAAATTCAAAGCTTTGGTTTGACTTTTAACACTTTAGTAAAATAAACCTGGAAATCATTTCATCTGAACTTTAAGAATAAAATTAAAGTCTATTACAATTAATGTGTCAATATATGAAGAGAAAAAACATTAAAATAAAGACTGAAGAACCTAACATTTTCATGTCAATTATTTGTCATTAAATAAAAATGTAAAGAAAATTAACTAAAAAAGTTATGTCTAGATAAAAAAGAAATGAGATTTATATTCTCTTTAGCATTGTTCGTCACATATTATCCTATTTAGAATAATAATGAAAACATCTTCATGCAATTTTTTTGCGAAGCGCACCTGCATTTATTACATATAAGATCAAAAATCAAATTGAATGGGACAAAAAATTGATTGATTCATCCGTGGCATAAAAATGACCAATATACAGGGTGTCCCACTAAACATGACATTTAATAAATCGTTTTTTTAGCTAAAAAATCTTTTGCTTCATTATCTTTTTCTTTGAAATCAATTTTAATATAACATGACTCCCACAGAATATTTCTATTGATCTTTGGTATTAAACAACATAACAAACTATGGAAAAAGAGACTCTAAACTATTCACCAACTGTCATGTTTCGTGGGACACCCTGTACCTTAATTGAATTCCAGGGTTTTTCAACTGGATTATATCGAATCTTAACGCAGATCTCTTGAAACCCATCTTGGTGTATTTTAAACTTGTAACTTCCACTTTCGTTATGGAAAGTGGAAAATTAGTTGGCTTACCAGGACTATTTCAGATAACATAATTACATTATTTCGATATTTGATTTTATATTTAAGCCTTCCTTTGGTTAATTGATATAAATTGTTTTAAAAAGAAAGACTAATAACCATATTTCTTTTCAACTGTTTTGTGTATATCCGTCCTTTTTTAAGCTCAATTGCATGTCTTATTTTGTTGCAATATTTTCCGCTAAATCTTTGAAAATAATGCCAAAAAATGTTAAATAAATTGCTGTGTTCCAAATGTATTAGTTTAGATCGTTTCATGTTAATTGTTGACCAGTGGATAGAAAATATATAATTATTATTGTTTAGATTAAAACTTATTGTTAAATGAAGAACAATATTCAAAATAAAAATATGTCTATATCACCATATTTTCAATAGAAGTAAATATTTCCATTTACTGATAGCGCTGATTGAAGGATTCATATCTCTAATGAGATAGATAGAAAGATAGATGTTACCGCCATACTATTTCTATTGGTTCAGATTATACAACAACCACATGGCTGAACAGTGAACACTAATTGGATCAGGCGCTAATGGACTCGGCATATAGGAGTGATATTTAAGGTCCGTTAAGGATGCAACCAGAAAGACGGCCTAAAACTTGTTAAATATGACGATCCCTATATTAAATCAAGTCTACCGCCCTAAATATAATCTTTGAATGGCTTATATAATGATTTGACAAAGAAAGTATCAAGCTTACAGTTGTAGAGAATCGTATATAAGACTGTAAAAATTCTAATGAAGATCTCATCCTTTTGTGGGTAACCCTGTAGTTTAAATTACCATTCCTTTATAAAAAGCTGGTTTTTGGTATGCAACAATTTTCATTGAATCCCGGTGGGATTTTTCATTAAACACTGCATTGAAAAATCTTAGAAATGCGCGAATTTTTTTACAAAATTCACAAATTCCAATTTTAAATCAGTTAGTTCTCTTTCAGCTTTTTAAAAAGGAATGTCATTTACTCTCAGACAAATTTCCATTGATTCTAATTTGTCTGAGAGTAAATGATACATTCCTCTATAAAAAGCTGTTTTTTTGGTATGCAACAATTTTCATTTAATCCCGCCGGGATATTTTCATTGAAAGATACTTTGAAAATCTACAAAGGCAAAAAAAATCCGCAAGCCCTCGGGTTTATCATTGAATCCCCTTTTTAAAAAGGAATGTCATTTACTCTCAGACAAATTAGAATCAATGGAAATTTAATCCCCCTCGGAATTCAACGATAAACCCTTGGGCTACGCCCTCGGGTTTATCATTGAATCCCTCAGGGGTTTAAATTTCCATTGATTCTAATTTGTCTGAGAGTAAATGATACATTCTTCTTGTGCAGTGCTTTTACAATATACCGTAGTTTGTATACAATATAGCGTAGTTTGTATACAATATACCGTAGTTTGTATACAATATACCGTAGTTTAAAAGTAACGCAAGCCAATTACTTCGATAATTGCCCCATAATTACTTTTTTACAGAAGGACTTATTAATAATTCAAAACCTTTAGTACAATTATTTCAGTGCTTGATTGAGCGCCCCGAAATAAGGTTTATTTCCCAGGAATAAATTTTGGTTTCATTCTTACAACTTCAAACAAATTTGAAAAATGCGTTTGTGTTTTCTTTTCATCTTTCTTCGCCTGTTCTCTGTGGCATGGGGATACCTTCCCCCGGACCAAGGTCCGGACTTTCACTAATTTTTAGGATATAGTAATAAATGTTCGACTTTTCTATCTTTAATTTGTTACTGGTTAATTTTAATCATGTTGTAAAAACCCAAATAAAATTTTAAGTCTACCATTTATGAATATGATTAGGAAAGGTGTCCTAAAACATTTATTTGATTAATCATGACAAGTTAGTTCATGTTTTTGTTCTTCTTTTTTGCAATTGTAAAAAATTTAAAAAAAGAACTAAGAAAACATTTTTATCACCTATTAAGCCCCCCCCCCAAAAAAAAAACACTTTGCACCCAAAATCTAAAATACAAGTTTTCTATTTACGAATTATTGTTTTATGAATTTATGCATCCTTTAAGATATAAGCCTTGCTTTTTGAGCAATTTGATTCATAGTTTTATTTTCGGTTAAAAGCTTTAAATCAAATCACATAATAACGTTTAGCATTCATTTAAAGGGGGCATGTCCGTTTTTCAACGCTACACTTAAAGGGACTGTAAAGGAAAAATGAAAGAGGGTAAAGGATGAAACCTGAAAATCTCAGGCGTTAAACGATACATATATAAAACATCTATCTGATGTACCTGTCACAAGAAATTGATATAAAAGTGTGTCAAATTTATACAAAAATACATATATATATATATATGCAATTTTGAATAAAAGTTGTAGTATTAAACGTATGATATTCAACAAATGCGCAACCAATCTGAAAACGACGATATCCAACAGGAGCCTGAGAATCTCAGGTTTGGTGGTAAAGCTACTGTGGTGGTAACCTCTGCTGCTGGGACTATAGAACTAGGTTTAAGCTAAATATATTGAGTTTAGTGTGTGGTAAAGCTACTGTGGTGACTGCTGTTGCTGGGACTATAGAACTATGTTTAAGCTAAATATATTGAGTTTAGTGTGTGGTAAAGCTACTGTGGTGACTGCTGCTGCTGGGACTATAGAACTAGGTTTAAGCTAAATATATTGATTTTAGTGTGTGGTAAAGCTACTGTGGTGACTGCTGTTGTTGGGACTATAGAACTAGGTTTAAGCTAAATATTTTTAGTTTAATGTGTGTGGTAAAGCTACTGTGGTGATAACCTCTGCTGCTGGGACTATAGAACTAGGTTTAAGCTAAATATATTGAGTTTAGTGTGTGGTAAAGCTACTGTGGTGACTGCTGCTGCTGGGACTAGAACCAGGTTTAAGGAGGAGTCCCTACTGGTAGATGACTGTAGTTACTGGGCTGGTTCAGATCAGAACAATACTAACATTATCTTAGATATGGGCTGTGTTGTTGCCATCGACAGGTAGGAGAAACAATTTAACTTGTCTACATACAAAAGTTTCGATCTCATGGAGGTTGGAATTAATAAAAAGAAAAAAGTAGTTGAACTTCAGCTCTATAGTGTAACCAAATGAGAGAATATAGATGAACTAGCTGAACCAGGTTAAATTCAACTATTCAAACATTTCTTTACAATTATAACTATACGAAATTATACGGAATTATACGGAAATAAATCAGGGTAGAATGTAAGAAATAGCGAGCAATAGTTAAACCTGGTATAGTTAGTTTAACTCCACGGTAGGTCAGTAATTCAACTATGTATACCATGTCAAACTAATAGTTAAACCTGGTATAGTTAGTTTAACTCCACGGTAGGTCAGTAATTCAACTATGTATACCATGTCAAACTAATAGCTAAACCTGGTATAGTTAGTTTAACTCCACGGTAGGTCAGTAATTCAACTATGTATACCATGTCAAACTAATAGTTAAACCTGGTATAGTTAGTTAACTCCACGGTAGGTCAGTAATTCAACTATGTATACCATGTCAAACTAATACACTATATTCATCCTTTGATGTCGAAACTTTTGTATGTACATATTTTTTTAATTTAGCAGTTTTGTTAGGGCGCTAATCTTAAACTTGACATAAACTGATATCAACAGCGGACACTTTTTATTTTAATTCTAGCGGGTAAAGCTTTTTAAACAATCAAAGAATTGCAAAGAAAACTGTTCGTGTTGTTTAATCATGCAGCCCCCCCCCCACAGTTGGGTATTATGAGGGGGGGGGGTTAGCCAAAATAAGTTTATTCCATAAACCTCTTATTTAGTTTTAAAAAGGCTTGGCCGCTTAGAATATTTTTTTGAGAAAGGAAATCCGACCGAACACCCGCTATTTTCTTGAAAACTATTAGCTACCACGAAAGACATGTTTGTTAAGGTTGATTGTAAAGAACCGAGAAGGGTTCTGCCAGGATGATGGATCTAACCCTGCAGTTTGTAAAACTAAGGAACCCTACCATTCTTCTCTGAATGAGCGGATTTTAACGTTTCCAAAAAAAGTTTTAAAGTTCATTATGATATCTATTTTGACAGTTTTGAATCTATCCAAACAAAACTAAAAAACAAAACAAAAACTCGTTTTTAAGTCTCCATTATATCAAAGAAAACTATATTGGTTGGACCCCTTTTATCCAAAAAGTGCCCCAAGGGCCAAGTTTTACAATTATTACTATCATCAATTTTATCATAATGTATATGAACAGCAATGTTAATTATCTGTATTAAACAATACACATGACAATCAAACTTTTGAATATTTAAAAAGATAATTAGGTATCATAGACATACTTAGACACTAATTATACCCTTCAAAAGATCTTTATGATAATAAATCATAAACATATTATAATTAGAAAGATAATTACAAAAGAAAATACTAAAGCTTTAGTAGGTTTGAGTAAAGTTTTTATACACCAAATACTGATAATTTAGATCTTTTGACCTCAATTGTGCAGAATCTGTTTGATCTCTCGATCTCTCTAATTGGTTTAAGGCAAAATTACCTGGATTCTGATTAGTTTTTCCTTTTCCACAAACGAGACTATTGACATGATGGGATACCAAATAGATATTAAATTGTAATTTGTAGATAAACATGAGATCAAGATTTGTTTTTCTTTTAAAGGGAGTGTTCGCGAAAAATGAAAGGGGGTATAGGCTTAATGCGATAAAAAGCCGCTTTTGATCGCTACTAATCTTACTTCTATCTGTTGCGTCTATAAGGAGAAAAAGGTTGTGTCCATACAAATTCAGAAAGATGCAACATTCTACTCGGATCGTAAACAAATCAATTTAAATCCAAACAAATCATTCAGATATTACAAACAATAGTCATCGATTATTTTTCAACGCATACGTAAATAGTTAATATTTCATAATATTTTGTATTTTTTATGATCTGAGAGTTACTTTTGAAAACATTTATTCCTGTTTCGAGGATTTTTGATAATAAAGACGACATTTTCATATTTTCCAGGAATGTTCGAAAATCCAGCGCCAGCGAAAATTTAAAAAAAACAAAAACAAATTAAGCCTATACCCCCTTTCATTTTTCGCGAACACTTCCTTTAATCTAACTTTAAAAGAATAATTAAGATTTAGATAATTCTTTTTAAAATTTGTGCAATAGACAATTCTACACACATTCCTTACTCTCCCGCCGCCTTCTCATCGTGTTAAATAAAGTTAAATATTTGTACAGAATAGGAGAACAAGATGAAATCATCTCAGCCCTGTCAAGTCCTCCAGCACACATTCGTTTATGCAATTAAACCATCTATTTAGATAATGTTTTATTATAAATTGCCAAATATAAATAAGTTTATTTGATTTTATTTGATAATAATATAAATAAATAAAAATGTTATTAAATTATCATTATCAAATGAAATTCACTTTATATTTGTTATGAAGAGATCTTTCTTTCCGCATCTTCAAATGATACTTGATATTGTACAGCTCAATACTTGATATTGTACAATTCAATACTTGATATTGTACAACTCAAAACTTGATATTGTACAGCTCAATACTTGATATTGTACAACTCAAAACTTGATATTGTACAGCTCGATACTTGATATTGTACAATTCAAAACTTGATATTGTACAGCTCGATACTTGATATTGTACAACTCAAAACTTGATATTGTACAGCTCGATACTTGATTTTGAACAGCTCAATACTTGATATTGTACAACTCAATACTTGATATTGTACACTCGATACTTGATTTTGAACAGCTCAATACTTGATATTGTACAACTCAATACTTGATATTGTACAGCTCGATACTTGATTTTGAACAGCTCAATACTTGATATTGTACAACTCAATACTTGATATTGTACAACTCAAAACTTGATATTGTACAGCTCGATACTATCAGGAACTCTGTCTATTATTACAAACAAAAGATTATGGAGGGGAAAATATTTAGAGAGTAAAAATATCCGTGTCCAGGGATGGATCTACTTATGATGATGTAGTCGATGATTTTACTTTAAAAGATCCTTCCAACAAGGTGCATACATATAAATTCTAACTACTTAATAGCATTGCCCTAACGTTGCCAATATACTTCTTTACCCAGGGATGTAGTGCGCTGCCTGATAGAATCCCTTTGCCTTCTATACAAACAACAAGATATGTGAAAGTGACTGTTCTTGAATATACCAAGGATGGTCCTGCTTTCACATACATTGGCATTGAGACTGTTGTTGGTGAGTAAATTCATCCTGGAACAGAAAAAGAATTGGGAACAACTATGGCAGGGGAAGATCTTATTTGTCTTGCTCCCAAGTTTTAACATTCTCTAAACACATGACTCTAAATTATTTATTTGGCAGCAAAAGTTGTAATAAGAGATTTTTATTGAATATAACCGATATTTTGGTGCTTTCTCGGCAGCTGTCCAATTGTTGCTACCAAATAAGAGATTCTTATGATTCTTGATTTAGAGTGTGAGCGTATATCAACAATATTTTTGATTTAGGATCCTTAGACCCATCCATGGGACTGATTCCATCTGATAGAGAAGGAGAGCTGACAGAAATAGTAGATCCTAAACATGAGGATAACTGCTACTTCGTCTGTTACAATAGGGTAATAATTATTCACCATATTTCTTTAACCCTATTACTACTGGGGAGGCTGTTGAAATTTTCTGACTTTTCCTAAATACCCATAGCCCTCCCTTTAGATCTAAAATCTGGCTTATAAACTAACTTCCTGAATCCTCAGGCACACTGTTTGAATGACTACTTTTTCCAGTAACAAACTAAATCATTGTTTTGACCCACTTTCAGTTGTCAGATTTTGATAATGTTTAGCTTTTTGGAAAGCCTATGACAAAAGAAAACGGATCCCACGAATTTTACAAAGAAATTTTGCTATTTTTTGCATACAACCTGTCAAAAGAAATTTGTACATTTTTAGTTTGCTTAATTACACATCAGGTTATTTAAAATTTTGCAATTTTTTTGGCATACTTAAAATGGCATGGTCAAGGGCTTTTCAAAAATGTATATTTTATAATTTTTTGGACATTTTTTTCCAAACATTTTTACTATATAACTGGATTTTCCAAACAAAATCAATTTTTGCAAATTTGCAAATTTTTTTGCGGATTCTAATGATGTATGATTTGTCATTTTTGGACATCAATTGACCCTCCCCCCCCAACGTATCCTGGTTTTCTAGTACCCCAGCAGGGATAGGGTTAACATTGCGAAATTATAGACCAAGTCAGTCAGTAACACCTGATTCGGAAAAACTATGAGTTTTTTTTACTAATTCTTCTATTTCTTGTGAAAAAAGCTAAGGTCCAGATCACTTATTGGCCAGCACGCTGTATAGATTCAGCCAATAAGAAAAGCTAATTGGTTTCTCTGATTAGTCATTTCTGCAGATTACACTAAGTTGATTCATATTGCAAAATAAGAGAATAAGAAACCAAAAAGTTTTCACTAAAGAACCGATTTATTTTGTTTCATAATTTTATTTTGATATTATGTTGCCTAGGATGGATGCAAGGGTTGGATCTATTCTAGTGATACAGGATCATGTTTAACTTTTACTAATTGGAAAACTTTGGAAGCTAATGATACATTGCAATCTTCTGAGTTCAGCGGTTCTCAAACAACTCCTATTCGTAAGTTTTAACTCTACTCCTTATTGCGTCTTGTCTGACAAAAATAAATTTTGATTCCTTTATACTTTTGCTTTAACTAATCATTCATTGTAAACTCTTATTTATCTCAAATCTCTTACCGACTTTTAACCAGCTAAAGCAAGTTGTAGAGTACAAGTAGCTTTTGTCCAGTTTAAATGGGTCTTATTATTTATATAGAATATATACCCCGAAATCTAGCAATAGTGAATTCACATGTGGATAAACCTGTGAATGTGTCTTAATTTTTAGTTTAGAAGTAGAAACCAAGCATTAAAGATTATGCTTCAGAAGTATACATTTATTGCTTCTAGATATAAATACATGATAAATAACAAGGCTGAATATATGCTGAACTTACTAGCCTAGAGAGTAGAGCCTCTAGAAATAAATAGTTTTAAAGATGTAAGAAAATATTGGAAGTATCTGAGTTTTGTGGTTACTTTCAAATAGACCCCAGACAACAAGTTTTGTCTGGGTTGAATTGTAAATAATTTTGATAAGTTTCTTCAGTTGTTTATTGAATCAGATTTCCATATATACAAGCCACATAACTGAAATGTACAAAACTAGGCTTTCAGGGCGCTTAGCCCTCTTCATCTTCTATTTTAATTTTTAATTGTGACATAATCTGTCAGCATCTTCTTTTTGTACACTATAAAAAAAAAACAAAAAAAGTTTGCGGATTTCATAATATTTTTTCATGCATTTGGAAATTTTACAAAAATAAAAACTTTTAACCACAAATTTTTAAAATTTTGATCATTCATAAACCTTCCCTGGGGTCACGTGAGGTCCCACACAAAATTTGGGCCCAAATGGGTTTAGCTGTTTTTGACTTTTAATGGATACAAACAGACAGACAAACGAACAAACACTGAGACAAGCAAAGTATAAATATAGATGAGTATAGAATATGTAAGCTTATAAATATGCATGCCACTTATGCAAACACTTTGAAGGTTATATAAGGTTTACAAACTATTACCTTTTATAATGATAAATTCACTTTAGAAAATTCATTTTCACACCTAAATTTGTGGAGATCCAATTGAAACTGAATCAGTATATTTAGACAGACACACAGAGGGAATGTCGTCTTTTATAAATAAATCAAAGTTAAACAGTTACAGGCAAACCGGGACAGTATGTTTTATAAAGAATACCAGGGCAAACTAATAGTTAAACCTGGTATAGTTAGTTTAACTCCACGGTAGGTCAGTAATTCAACTATGTATACCATGTCAAACTAATAGTTAAACCTGGTATAGTTAGTTTAACTCCACGGTAGGTCAGTAATTCAACTATGTATACCATGTCAAACTAATAGTTAAACCTGGTATAGTTAGTTTAACTCCACGGTAGGTCAGTAATTCAACTATGTATACCATGTCAAACNAAAAAAAAAATTATTTAAAATTTTTTTCTTGTAGACAAGTGCCCTTCAAGGTTTTCTCCCGGGCTTGATGTTTTGGATAAGGATAAAGCCAAACCAATCTCAGCATCTAGTGTACAAGAATGTGCAGACCATTGCAGGTAATGCCTTCCCATCTTTTATTCTCAGCTGACAATTAGGGTTTCTATCTATTTCTATTTTGTTTTTTTTTCAGGATGGACAAACTTTAAAATTTCAATAAAATAGAAAAATCAGCATGTGGCTCATTCCATGTCTGTTGTGGTCAATATCTCGGATTTTGGTTTAAATTTCAGGATACTTTTTTTAGGTTATATTAATCGGGAAATCCAATATTTTTTGATTTTGAAAAGATCTTGTTTGGCCAATTAAAACAGTTTTGGTCGTTTGTAAACTTCATAAATTTCAAAGTTTGATTGACAGTTAGTTATTTCTTGTTGTCAGGGTGTCAAAGAAAAAGAGGCATTTTAATTTTCTTTTGAAAATTTGTCAAAAAAAGTTGAGCATTAATCTCGTTTGGTTTCTGGAAAAATCTAAAAATATCTTTATTTTATTGATATGAAAAAATATTTTTAAAAACCCATTAACATTAAGTGGATTAAAATGATCATTTTCTGGAAACACCCTGTATTTTCAACATTTTCCTTTTTTTTCGCAATTTTTTCAGAGTATTTTAGTCTTAAAAATTGGGATAGAAGGCTGAAATCTGAACATCAAGAATACTCTGATTTTAAAAATTACATGACCCATTTTAATTGATTTTATAGTTTGATCTCTTTAGAGGCCATTCTTAAAAAGTGGCCAAAACAGAGATCAGATATATGAGTTTCTTTTGGCTCATGATTTATGTGGTTGCTAGACATATTAAACACGTCTGATAAAACAAAAATAATCAAGTTATAGTAAAAAGTGTGTTGTGTGCTATTTTCCCTTATTTTCTACGTTTTCTGAGGTCAAAATGTAGGTCAATGATTGCCTCTCCCAAATTTTCTTCTTGATATTTGTAGATGAACATAATTGGAGGCTGCATTTTATATCAATTTTTAAGATCAAAATACTTTGAAAAAGTAGCAAAAAAACTTAAAAAGAGGTTAAGAGCTAGCTGTTGATTTTCAAACTTTTAAATTCATAAAACTCAACATTTTTTAAAGGGACCATTCACTTATTTGGGTAATTACATTATTACATAATCAAGTATTTAAGACAATGGCGCAACACAAAACGTTGGGGTACACTCGTCTTTTAATCAATCTTGATCAATACAAGACTTCGAAAACAAACTGGAAATAGGTTTACTAACATTTCGTTTTATTTGTATGAATGAGCTTGTGCTCATATCCCTTAATTGAAATAAATTATTAAAGTTAAAGAACTTATTTGGGTAATTTCATGGTAAACCGGAGAAAAAGCTTACTTATCGCTTAAAATTCAAACTTAAAGGTATGATACCTTTGCATAGACACTATTCAAAGTATTTTTCAGTAACACAGCCCAATAAAATGAAAAGATTATCTTATTTCAATTTGACATTATGTGTTAGCCATTATATAATAAAATATAAAAACTTTTGATTTTAGAATTACTAAGAAATTAACGTGTTTTTTGTATCTAAACATGATTGAACAAATGAACACCTTTATTCAAAGGCAACTTTCTATACAGGACAAACCGGTTTCCAGATTCCAACTCTTCATTAAATAACGTTGATTCCTGGGGAAATATGGGAAATGCTTCAAACCTTCAAATGTTTAAAATAAGTTATCTATGACAAAAAGCATCAAATAATGTAAATGCAAAGGTATCATACCTTTGCACTGGAATTCTTAATGATAAATCGGCTTTTTCTCAGGTCACAGTTTTCTTTGAAAAGTAAGACTAATACCATCAAATAGCTTATAGGCTATTAAGTTTACCCTTTAATTGCCCAAATAAGTGAATGGTCCCATTAAGTGGCCATAAAAGACCTTTAAACTGGTCAAAAATCAAAAATATTGCATTTCCCAAATTGATACATCCTAAAAAAGGCATTATGAAATTTTTAACCTAATCGGAGACATTGACCACAAAGCGTGGTGATAATGCATGGAATTGTGTATAGTGACTATTGTTTGGTAGGGCTAACAAGGAACTGTGTAATTTTTGGAGAACAAATACACCTCCTGTCACTGGTTGCATTCTCATTAAAAACCGCAAAAAGATTTCAGCTTTAAAGAGTCCTTTCCTACATGGTACAAGAGACTGTAGTACAGGTATGTACCATGGTTTAAATGATTTTTGGTAAATTGTGTATGTCTTGTAAATGTTCTGTTTTATTATGAGAATTCATCAAAAGAAAGTTTTTCTTTTATTTGAATGAGTTACTCCATTAGTTTACCAACGGTTTAACTTTTGACACAAAGCTTTTCAAAACTTTAAAAAGATTATTAGAGAATCATGATTTTTTATATCAACAGTTTCAATGTGTATTGTTTAGTTAAATGATATATTTTTATTTTTTATTTTTAAATTATGAATTACAAATATCATTAACATTATCATTTCATAATTTATCTTTTTCTAATCATACAAGCTTTTTTTCATCTTTTCATCAAAAGGACGTTTTTTTACTTATATAAAAAATAAAAAATAAATGTTTATGAACAATATAACATTGGAGATGAAAAGCTAACACAGTTTCTTTTACTAGAGGATTTAACTAATAAATGCCCCTGGTTTGATTATCAAATTGATATTGGGACTGAAATTACCCCATCTTCAACTGCTGAGTCTTGGATGGAGTGTGCCACTTTGTGTTTTGAGACCTCAAATTGTTTGGTAAGCTAGTAAGTCTAAGGGATACAGTGGGGATAAGATTAATATTTCTGTGTAACCTAACTTTTAAAATTAGTTAGCCCAGTAAACTTTTTTATTAAATCTTTCAAATATGCTTTTTCTTTGCTTGTCAGAACCTGTTTTTTAATCTTTATCCTTTGATGTCAAGCTTTTTAAAAAAGTATCGAAAATAATTTTATGTTTTTTAACATCAAATGTTAATTCCAATATACAAATAGGCTTTAACTTGGTTCTCTGACCGCTCATCAACCCCAAACACCTGTAAAATGTACAGCACAGCAATAACATCTTTGAAACCTATGCTTTTTGCAGTGTCTGGCTCTAAAAAATGTGGTAACAATTCACTATTCAATTATTTTAATGAAATTTCTTATGTTATATGATTTTATTTGACATATGACTTGTGCCAGATGAAAAAGCTAAACTTACAAATATATTGATAACATGTACAAATGTTATAATAAATGTTTATAATGAAAAAATCCTTACGATCTAATAGCGGGTGATAAAGGGGTTAATAATTGTTGAACAGTACTTAAAGACGTTTTAAACTTCTGAAATGAAAATGACAATTGATTATTAATGAAAGTCACTAATTCTTTTTATGAAAATATTCTTTGTTTAACATGAAAATGGATTCACAATACGCGAGGTTGTTTATGACTCCATCGGGGAGAATTAAGAAAAGCGGTTAAAATTGTTTGGTTTGGTGTCTCCGAGAGGGGACTTAAGTTAAAGACGACTTTACACGGAGATATATTGTTAATAATTGACAGTCTTGTGCCAGGTGAAAAAGCTAAACTTGTTAAGGTTCCAATGCATGCAAGAACCCTACTGTAGTACTAGACTCACGACCTTCTCCGTCAGATCCTAAGGTCATCCCAGCACTGACAGGTATAGGTGCATTATACAATTTGCTCAGAATTGGCTTAGTATTGGATCAAATAGGAATCTAGTCTTAGCTACAAACTCTGATTTTATAATCCCTATATCTTTTCAACCCAGTGCCATAGACTTCAGATATTTCAAATTAAGAATTCTATTAAATCAAATGATTTAAGTTTTAAATTTCAAAGGTTTACATCATTAGGTTGCAAAGATATAGGGATTCAAAAACTTAAGTTTGTGAAAAAGACTCATTTCCTTTCTGTAAAATTGTATGCAGCTATTTAAACTATCCTTTCTGTGTTTTGGGACCAGATTCTATGACTACCAAGACATGGTTTAACCTTTATATATGAAGTTTAACAAATTCTGTTCAGCTAGCTTGAACCAACATGTATTATAGTTCAGCTACTTCTTACCATATAAAGGGTGACCCAGAAAAAGCACGGATTAGGAAGTTTAGCCCTTTTAATCGTTTGAAATTACTCGAAAATGTGCCCCAGTATATAGTTTTTTATTTTAGAAGGGGTCATTAATTAAGTTTTTTGTCATCCAATCCTTCCATTTGGTGTAAAACAATGTTGAATGTTTGAAAATCTCGCTGTTAACTTAAGCTATCAAATATTGCCTAGGAAACAAAAAAAATTTATTTAAATTAATCAGAACCACCTCAGATTTTTCTTCCATGGGCTTTCTAAACTCCAAAGTGTATATGTAGTCCTATACCCAAAACTCTAAAAGGAGAACCCTTAAAAAAAAGAATGGTTGCAGAAATCCCGGCTCCATGATTGGAACAGCTTTGATAGACCTTGGAAATATTAGAAATAGGCGGGTTATTTGCATTATGTCAAATAGGGGCTTCTGAAGTTAACAGATATACACAGTTTTGCGCCAAACGGAAGCATCGTACACCAAAATGTTAATTTAACAACCCCTTCTAAAATTAAAAACTATACATTAGAGCACTTTTTCAAGAAATTTCAAAAGATTTTTGTTTTGGGTCACCCTGTATTACATCTGATCCCTGAAGTCTTTAATTTAAGAGACTAATATTCTTTAGTCTTCAGCCCATAATGTGCCAATCTAAACAAATTACCAAAATGTAACAGAAATGTAACAAAATGTAACAGAAATGTAACAAAATGTAACAGAAATGTAAATGTATCAAAATGTAACAGAAATGTAACAAAATGTAACAGAAATGTAACAAAATGTAACAGAAATGTAACAAAATGTAACAGAAATGTTACAAAATGTAACAAAAATGTAACAAAAAATAACAAAAATGTAACAAAATGTAACAGAAATGTACTTAAAGAAAATACACAATTCACAAGTGTCACTGTTTTAATCCTACAGACTCTACATGTGAGGATGATGATTCTTCCAGTGTATGGTCAGCAAATCTAAACACCGTGGGGAGGGAGGCATCAGTAAGTTGTTGAATTAGTCCCATAATATTTTAGATTAAAAATAGTAACACTTCAGATTATTATAATATTACTTAGTGTAAATTCTTTTCTCATGTTAGCTCATGACTTTGTTTTAAGATCTTTGAATGTTGATCCTACCTTCATCCAATCTATACAAGAATTTACTGTACTTCACATAGTTATATATGCATTTGCTTGTACAGTTGGGTATAGGCTATATGCATGTTAACTTCACAAAATGTAGGCTGGCTTGAACTGTGTAAACAATTCCTTAAATTATGTCATAAATTCATATTAAAACACTATAATTTGTTTTTCTAGTTTGCTCTGGACTATGGCTGCAGGAAAAAGTTTTTGAATTTCAAAATCCAAAACTCTCATAAGGGGGGAACTAACTGCTGCGGAACCAACGGATTTACAATTTATGGGTCAAATGACATGAGAAAATTTGCCAAGATCTTGGATGGTAATCTCTCAACTGCCGCCGGAAAGGTTACATTTATTCAAAGTTTTCTTTTACAGATTTTAAAGTTATTTTTAATAAAATTATTCAATTTATTTATCATAAATATCAGAATTGTAATGTTCCTGTGGACGAGTTTGCTTTAACAGAAACCCGCACTTTCCAGTTCTTGATTTTTCAACCAGATACATTTGAGAGGTCTACACCAGCAGATCAGCAGATAACTTTATCCTTGTTCATTCCAGGTAAACATAATCATCTTGGGTTTTTTATATAGTTTAATCACAGAGTTTATTATAGACTTGCAAAAATAGTTTTTATTCTGCATGAGTGAAATTTAACAGATTTTTATTTTTTGTATGGAATCCTGAAATTGTTGATAATTGACAAATCAAGATTTATTGAATAAAGAGTTTCTAAATAAATCTGGGACGCATAAATACGTGTTTTATCATAAGTAGATACTTATTTTCTGACAACAAAGAAAAATTTGATTAAACTAGGCTTTCAGGGCGCTTCGCGCCCATCTTAAAATCAAAAATTTTTAGCTCTGACTTTCCACAAAGTCATGTGAGGTCCCTCAAAAAATGTTGGCCTGATCGGTTCAGCCATTTTGAAGTTTAGATTCAAACTGACAGACCGACAGACTAGCAGTATATATATATATATATATAATCTTAGTAAAACAATAGCACTTTGCTTGCTTAAATCAACCAATTACATTTTAGCTTTTTACAATTATACATGAAATTTATGTTGTCATTTTCACATTGCTTATTTTAAACTTATATATTTAGAAATCCTGGAAAGCCCTGAAGGGTATTATACATGTGTTGAAACATTTCCTTCCAGTAATGAAAGGGTAAGATTAAATATTCTTTCATTAATAGATTTTGAAATTTTACCAGTTTAAAGATTACTTTGAGTTGCATGAAAATAAAAAAAGAATAGATGACAGAAATTAGGTCCTTGCAGCTGCAACCCAAATTTTCTAATTCCTATATCTTTACAACGTTATAGTTTGAACCTGAGCTATTTCAAACTTAGATTCTTTGATCTAACAGACTTCTTAGCCTGAAATATCTAAGGTTTACAACATTGGGTTTCAAAGATATACAGATTAGAAAATTCTTTTCTTGCCAAACAAATCAGAATTTTTATTTTACTACAATTTGGCAACGGAACGTTAATGAAACAGAGGTTTTTGAAAATTAACAAAAGAGTCTGCTAACAAATGGGAAAAACCTTTAAAGTTTAAATCATCCATAAAAAATGTCAATGGAGTTAAAAAAAAAGAAAATAATTCCATAACAACTAAAATTCTAAAAGGTGGCCCAAACTGTTTCGCATAGAAAAGAATGAACAAGGAACCAACATGTTCTAGAACGTGTAACAAACGTTTAATAAAAATAGGAACATGAACACTGCCCAGCCCTGTCACTTAAGACCGAGTCTAATAAGAGATTAAACACACTAAATCTATTTTACTTAAAACCAAGTTTAGCTAAAACTTGAGTCTTTATAACTTGTTCCTTATATACTTGGGCGTAAATAGATGCCAAGGGTTTACTTTGGCTTCAGTTTTAAATCTCATCTTTATTGACATAGTGGTAATTTAAAATACTGATTTATTGTAGGTATCCAAGAATTATGACCAACTGTATTACACTACACGACATTGTGTTGAATACTGTAGGGTTAGAAACTATGACCTTTACATGTTTAAGGTAATTTTAAATTGAAATATTATTTACTAAATAATTTCATTTCTGGCAAAAAATAAAGCACATGACACTACAGGGGACGACCAACCTCAAAAATGTTTGGAATATTTTTCATCAGGGTTGTTCTAATTTAAAGTGATTTAATTTTCATTTCTAATAAAAAGAAAGAAAAGGTTGCTGTTTTACTACTTTATATTGATAATCACTGGGATTTATGTTTTCTAATTATTGGAGGAAAAATTACTTATCTTCTTCTCTATTTCAAGTCCTCTGAATGCTACTGTGTTAAGAATTTCCCTACAAACCCATTAGTTCCAAGAGAGGACTGTTCACCTTCAGATTACGAGGTTATTTTTATACCAACTAATATCCATTCGTATATTTCATTTTTAGGGATAGATGTTGACATAAACTGTACAAAGTATATGATACATTTATAAGATGTCTATTGTCTAAATTTTTAAAGCTTTACAAAAACCAAAACCAAAATATTTACAAGGTTCAAAATATTTGAGTTTTCTTAGCAGTTTTTGCTCAAACCTCATATTTTTAATATAATTTTCAGTTCTAATGTTCCAACATTATACAACAAAATCCTTGTTTAGATATACAAGGTGTCAGAGTTTGATATATCTGAGTCCTGCGGAGAATTGTATTTCCAACACCAAGTGTATGGTTGGAGTGAATACAAGATATCATTTCAGGACTCAGCAGGACAATCTAGGACTATCACGTAAGTTTTATAAATTTCAGCCCTGAATATAACTTCTACATAAAAGTATTATAGCGTATTCTTCACCTATGTAGAGACAAAGAATATACATTAACAGATAAATAAAAGCAAAATCAAAAGTCCATATCCCCGTGGAGTTTGGAATAGAAAGTTAAATATTGTACTGCCTGTTCACCAACCTTACTAACCTACTTTTCTCCGAAGAAAGGGGAATGATAAGTTAATTAACATCATTAATACAAAAAATTAAAATAACCACCCGCTCTGCAAATATACCTATAAGATAGCTGAAGTATTGTATTCCTGGTAAAAAGTTAAAGTGTCCCACTAAAGAAATTAAGTTATTTTTAATTTTTAATTATTGGAAGTCTAATAAACAATAAAACTTCATCAAAATTGAAATTACAATGTTTGTTTAGTGTGACCTGTGAGTTTTCTAAGCCATCAGGTGTAGAATCAAATGCAAATAACCAAGCAGGAGAAAAGTTTGCACATAGGTAAATTCCTTCTCATACAATTTTCTCATGTTTTTATTTTAGAATTGTGTGAAACAAAATATTTTTTGTTTTGTTTAGGGCATTGATGATGGCTGATAAGGACTCAATTCTCAATACTAGTTCCTCAATTACTGTTTACCAGGTTAGAAATGTGTTTACTCAAATTTAATGAAAAGTGAGAAATAGCTTTGACTATTGACAGATAGGACTGTCGAATAAAATTAGTTTAAAATGTTGATTCAAAGGAACCAGATTTTAGTTGATCTCTCTCATCAGAGGCTGTAAACAGAAATAAAAATATGTTTAGGGATCTGTGATACCTTTGTATGTTTAGGGATCTGTGATACCTTTGTATGTTTAGGGATCTGTGATACCTTTGTATGTTTAGGGATCTGTGATACCTTTGTATGTTTTAGGGATCTGTGATACCTTAGTATGTTTAGGGATCTGTGATGCCTTTGTATGTTTAGGGATCTGTGATACCTTTGTATGACTACCCAGGTCTGGATTATCCTCGAAGTGACTTCCGATGGGACTTTTCATCTGAAGACACCATAGTTTTTGATTTCAAGGAAAGATCTGCGATGATCTGGGGGGTTTACTTTAACAAAACAGATTTTAACTCAAACTTTGAATTTGAGATACAGATTGGATATTTCAAGGATAGTCAGTACAGTCACAGGTATATTATATAAATCTAGAGAGAGATATAAAAAGAAACAATTCATGCCAGAAAACAAGTCTTTTTTTTAGTAACCCAGATTGGATTAGCCCTAGAAGATCAGAAGAAGACAAATGGAGAATTGCCTTTAACCCAAACCAGATGGACAGTTCAGGAATAATTTATTTCAAAGACTTAGACATGCCGACCTACTTGACTTCTTTTGTTGCCAGTCGTATAAAGATAAAGCTCAAGAAAAGTTCTGGACCAAGACAAGTATTTCTTGACTTTGTTGGTAAGTTTTTTTTCTCACTGCGTTGTAACTTTTATCAGGTGAATACAACTTAATTTTTTTAATTAATTATTTTTTAGGTACTTTCTATGATTATGATACTGCCATTGATGGAGTGGCTAGTAATGGGAAAGCAGATGATTGGATTAATAACTATATTGGTGTTTATGCACTAAAAGGTAAATGTAGGTCATTCTTCCTCAAAAGTATTGGAATTATTTTGATAGCTTTCTAATTTCCTTTACATCGAAGAACACCCAATGTTTCTGTTAATTTTAATTTTGATCAATATTGCAGAGGATACAACCCTTGTAATAAATGCTGCGGATCCACAACTATGCTCCCAACAGTGTGTAGACCCAGATGAGAATAAACAAGTTTATTTTGCTGTGCAAAAAACTAAAAGCAGTTTTTACAAGTGTAAGTGTCTGCCAAGAGATCTATCTTTGATTATGGGAAGTATTGATTCCTCTCGTTCCAAGAGTCCTCTCACTTCAACAGTCTGTAGTGACGAGCTTATGGCACCTAAACTAGATTTAGTGAACCAGCAAACATCTCTGCTGAAGTTTCTAAAAGAGAGTAATAAAGAGCTGCAAAACACATTAACAGATGATAACTCTACACTTATAAACATATGCAATCCTACAAGAGCAATCAACATTGTCACCCTTTACCTCTCTCATTTTCTTGGCCTTAATGTTGACAACATAATTACTAATTATGTTTATAATCCAAGTCAAACTTTTGTCTATCCTGGAAATGTTTCCAACTCCCCAACTCCAGTTGCTGCAGTTCCTAACTTACAACAGGCTTTCTGGACAATAGTGAGTCAGGTATAATCTAGCTTGCTTAATTAATATAATTATTGTGAAGTTTACAATTGGTTTTTTCAGTATACAAACACCACGGAACCTCAACTTAGAAATGGCAAAGATGCGCTGTGGTGTTCAGATATGGGAGATATTCTATACCAGCACTGCTTGAAACACATTGAAGATTGTAAAGAAACTATAGTTCCTTCTTGTGAAAAACTTTATTGGACCTATTTTCTAGAAGTATGCTACCAAACAATAAACCAAAGCTCATCAGGAAAACCCGAAAGGTAGTTTTTAGTTTTTTTTTAAAACATTACTCAAAAAATTCCTTTTTATAGACCAGAGGAAAACTGTTTAAGCACAGACTACACAGAAAACAAGGCACATCCTTATGCTTTATACAAAAGGTAACTGTCTTGTTAAACCACTACACGCCTAGTCAATGAACAAATGGAAAATTATTCTGGAATTTGGGCATATGAATGTTTTAAGGGGCTAAGGGACTCAAGTGACATTATTTACTTTTCTTTAACATTTCAGTGTCTTGTACATTTTTGCTTCAGAAACAACAAAGGAATTATCAGAATGGAACATTTTTCAATCCAAAAAAACAAGTTATTTTTCACATTTTTGATGAGATAATGGGTTTCAGAGTACCCTTGTAAATCGGGCATGGCCCCCTTTTTTTAAATGGAGGTTCACGTAAAATGGTTTTGCAATATGTTATTGTTATATACATTTCTTCTAACCTATTATTTTATTTGTTTTATGAAAGGTGGAACAGGAATTGTTATGAACTAACCAACCAAATCAGCACATTTTCAAATACTAGCCTAGGTAAGAAGATAATGCTGCAATAAGAACTTTAAGATTTTACTTTTTAAATTCCTTATGGAAAAGATGGCTTCAAGGTTACTGTGATTACAAGAAAACAATGAAATAGGAAGACGACTTTATAGCAATACTTAAATATTTGATATTGTTACAAAGCAAAAAGTTTTACTAGACGCTTTTAAATAACTAACATAGTCAAATGGGTCTGTTATTGTTGTTTCTCATGCTCATTGAAATTTTAAAAGGTATAACTTGATTATGAATGTTGTCTTCCTATTTCAGAGTTTTCTGGTTATCACTGTATATCAATGATGAATTTTTTAATGCGCATATTAAGCTTATATAATCTTAATATGGATATACTTATATAGATACGTATATATGAAACTTTTACAAAAGTTGCATTAATTATATACAGGGTTACTCACAAAGGATGAGACTGTAAAGACGACTTCAAACTCCTTAAGTATGACGATCCCAAGGTTAACTTATGAGTTCTGCCTTAGATATAGTAATCTAATGGCGTTTTAATGATTTGGCAAAGAAATAAACAAGTTTACAGTTGAAGTCTCATCCTTTATGGGTGTATGACATTAAGTATATGTATATGACATTGACATGAAGTAAAGAATAGGCGGAGTGGGATTCCTGTTGTGCGCAATGTCCCGTAAAATTCAAAACAGAGAGAGGGGGATTGAATTTTGTAGATTCAGAAAAATAATTAAATTAGTATTTATTTAGGGTTAGGTTAGGTTAAGTCACTTTCTGGGCCGAGCGCTGCGGCTAGGACAGGCTAGGGGCCAAGCGCTGCGGCAACTGTCTTATGTTTAAGACCCCACCAACTGCCGGTCTCTACGCAGGCATCCCATTTTCTGGAGCTACAGGAATCCCACTCCGCCTAAAGAATAATATATTCGATTCACTGTCACTGTTACTGATGTTAACGTTTTCTTTCAGGAAATGGATTTATGGAACTCCGGACAGCTGATTCCCCATTTAGGAGTTGGATCAGAATACCAGGAACTCGGCAGAATTACCTTTGCAGGTGGATTTTACTGGCACACAATTGCGAGCCCTGTGATCGAACTCCGCGAAATTTCGCGTAATTCGAGAAAAATCCGATTGAAAACCCTACGGTTTAACCCACTGTTCACTTAAAACTAATCATGATGCATCACTATACTGTTAGGCCAGAATCTCCTTATAATAAACAATTCAACACTCTATACCCTATAACCTCGTTGGTTTAACCCCTCTCCCAACTAGAAGTCATGTTTAGCTTTAAACTAGAAAAGTAAGAGTAGGCCAATAGCTAGGGGGGCACAGGGGCACGTTCTCCCCCTTTCACCGCCTCAATTGTTCAATAGCAATTAAGAGAATGAAAACAGGCAAAATATCTATCTTAATAAACTGTAATGTATGATAAGTTAAAAATCTAGTTTTTTGTCTACATTCATTAAGTTTACACTTATTGGGTTTTTCAGGTCAAAATTTTTTTCGCCTGCGCCACGCCCCTTAATTATGCCCCCCCCCTTAGAAATTCTTAGCTACAGGCCTGAGTAAGAGGTCTTCTATAAATAAATATATATATATTATAAAAAACAAACAGATACACTCCTGAAAAACACTAAATACTAATATTTTTTCTTGCAAATTGTAAAACTAGACCTTGAAAAGGTCAAATCACTCGTACGACTTTGTGACCTTTTTTATATAATGTATGTGTGTGGGGGGGGGGGGAGTGTTTGAAATGGACCAAATCTGCAAAGTTATCTTTTTCAAGAGTATTTATTTAAATCCAAGACGAGTAGAACGAAATTACACCATATATTTATAAAAATGTTAAAAGTATATATTGAAACAATAAATGTCAATTTTAAACTATAACAGTAAGGTGTGAGAATTGGTTTTTGATGATTCTTGATTTTATTTTCGAACATATCTCTATTTTGATACATTTACCGGATTTCAGCTCATGTCGCATTTTCGGAACATGTCCTGGTTTTGAGACAATTAGCGGATTTCAGCTCATGTCGCGTTTGCGGAACATATTCTGGTTTTAAGACAATTACCGGAATTCATACCTATGTCAATTTTCAAGTATTTACGCACTTACATAACAAAACAAGATGTTTTGATAAGGTAAAATATAAACAAAATAGAAAATAAAAACAAACTATTCTTTTATAATTAAAAAATCATTACAGCTTTGAGAAATCAAAATATTAATATTATTTGTTCTTACAATATAGATTTAACTAGAAATGCGGGAAATTGTTTGCTTAAAATGCTTGAAAATTAATCATCCATATTCTCTAATTTAACAGTGAGTTTTGTTTCGAATTGTGGATTATACTCAAAAACGTGAAAGTGGGTTGTGTCTCGAAAATGCGACAATGTTTCAAATTCAGGATATGTTCGAAAATGGAAAACCTGACATTGTCTTGAAAACGATCAAAATATTTAATATAAAATAACTCCTATTATAATTTTGATTTAAAAAAAACGTTTAAAATTGGGAATTGTTGTCCTCGTCATGTTTGATAAAATGAAGGTTATAGTTTTTAATAACGACTTTTACTCTGGATATGGGCTAGGATCCCAAAACCCCACTCTTTCAATTTGTGCCCATTTCTAACACTCAGTGTTAGAAATGGGCCAAGTGTTAGTTTTGGAACTAATGACCCCTGAATATTTAAAGGCATGGTTGGGCGCTAGAAAATGGATCCAATCCAATCCAAACTTTTGGCTGCATGGGCAACAGAAAAGCTTACTTTGGTACTCCAGAAATATGCTTTCGTAAGTATATTTTACTTGAAATAATTTAGTAATACTTTAGAACTAATGTTTGTCTTTTAGCTTTGGTGTGTGGTCTGGAACCTAGTTTACCCAGCGATGACAAGGATAGAAATTGGATAAATTTAATCAGTTTTTATACAATCAGATTTATAAACCATGTATAAGTAAAACATATTATTTATCTTAATTTTGCTGGATCCTTCATTTGTCTTATTATTCACAACAATTATGAAAGAAAAGTGACGGAACATAAACTAGCTTAGATCTAAGGAGATTGATACTATATATTGTATAGTTACCAACATGCAATATCTATATGGATCCAGATGTCACATAACTGGGATGGAATCCGAGATAGGTTTGAGAATAGTATAAAATACAGCTGCCTGGTTGGAAATGCATTTAAGGTAAATATTTTGGGAATAATTGGAATCAAAAACTTCAGTCATTGAAAAATTACTTAGAACTATCTAGCCTTAATAGTTTTTTTAATGGTGAAATCCGTTTATGTTTATATTTGCCCAGCCTTACTGAAATACATTTTTTTCATGTAAGACCCGAATTCTTTCATTAGATGGCATGAGAGGTTCTTAGTATTTTGGTTCAGGTTGGATAAGGCTTATTGATGGCTATGACCATGAATGGAAAGTTTCCCAGGCTTCTTATTTTAACTTTAATATTTTATTTTAATTAAGTTTTGCAATATTTTTAAATATTTATATGATATCAGTTGAAAATATTTTGAGATTTCTATATTTCTTGATCTTAATTTTCTTCTCTTTCATACATCTCTCAATCAAATTTCGACTGATTTTGAAAAAAAAAAATTTTGGATGTCCTTTTAGTACACCACTCTACAAGAAAGAACCATTTTTAGATTATCTTGGTTTTTTTCTTAACTCTGTATTGAATTGAACTAGCTGAGATGATTTTGCTTTCTTTTTTTTGGACTCTGTATTGAATTGTTTACTCATGAGTTACATCTGAACAAATCCTATCTCATCATGTATTTGTCTTTAGTTTAAAAGCTATTGAAACATAATTTTCACAAAATAATGTTTTAAAAAAAGAATTTTAATAAATTCACAGGAGAAAATTCACAGGAATATGAATGAAAACGAGGGTGCACACAAAATTTAAATTCCCCCTTGAAAATAAAAATGCAAAAATATTTTTACAAAATTTCTCTATGCAATCTGTAAAAATCTCATTTAATGAATTTACCATTTGAGTAAAGTACGTACAATTTATTGAAAACTTTTGGTTAGACTTTTCTTAATCTCTACTTTTTCAGCCTACTGCTTGGACAAATATCTACCACCTACCCCAATTAGGGAAATAAACAATTCATAACTTATAAATAATTAAAAAATATTCTGTCTAGATTGAAAATATAAAGTGATAATTATTTTATTTTTATATTTAAGCAGAATTTAGTTAATCTTATCTATCTAAATCGTCTTTAACGAGAAATTTGTTAAAAAAGGCTCATACCGTAGAAAGTAACGTCCATACAAATTCAGAAAGTTGCAACATTCAACTCGGATCGTAAAAAAATTAATTGAATTCCAAACAAATCATTCAGATGTTACAACAAATATTCATCGATAGTTTTTCGAAGCATTCGTATATAGTTGATATTTCATAATATTTTTTTATTTTTAATGAACTGATAGATAATAACATTAATTTCGAGGATTTGTGATAATGAAGACGACATTTTCATTTTTTCCAGGAATTTCGAAAATCCAGCGTCAGCCAAATATTATTTAAAAAAAACAGAATCAAAACTATTATGAAATATTAACTATATACGAATGCGTCGAAAAATAATCGATGACTATTGTTTGTAATATCTGAATGATTTGTTTGGAATTAAATTGATTATTTTACGATCCGAGTTGAATGTTGCAATGTTCTGAATATGTATGGACGCTACGTTCTTCAGCATGAGCCATTTTTAACAATTTCTTCATATAGATACAACAAAAGTAATTGGCTATTTAGCTCATGGTACATGTTTTGTAAAGATTGAAACAAGAAAATGGATAAAACTGTAATCCATGAAAGCACATTATTTCTAGTAATTCTGTAATTAGTAATTGTTTTGATCCCAGAGCTTCAAAATCTGTTGTTGATAATACAGAGGGTATTGGGAAAACTGTAAAGTTTACTTGTCAAGTTGGGTTTGAGTTCATAGGAAAGATAAATGTATTTAGTTCTGTAAACATTTTCCTTAATTGTTCGTTTAACGGCGTGAAAATTTGGATAACATTTTTTGATGAAACCCATGGGAACCTTGAGGCTAGGGGGTGACATGGGCTAAAATAAATATGATAGTTTTTTCAAACTTTGTTTTAAATTTTTTCTTCAAAATTCTGAATTTTCTTTTTTCAAAATACGAAATTCCAGGGGCAACGTCTTTTGATACATGTAACTTTAAATAGAAAATATTGAGGTTAATACTCCTATACCTACTACTACTACAACTACAACCACAACAACTACAACCACAACAACAACTTATGTGCCCACTGAATGGTCAGGTATGTAAATTCCCGTTCATGATTGTTACCTTTTTATTGACCGCTTAAAAAACCCAATTTTTTTAGAATGCTGTCAGTATGTCCAACAAGCTATTCGCCCTGGATTGGTTAGAACCTTTGAAAAGCATGGCTCTAGAAATGAATACTCTGCTCTTGATTCACAAATATCAAATCTAGAAATCAAAAAAGAGTAAGTTTAAACTATTTCCAGTTTAAAAAAACATCAGTAGTTTTTGCTTAGTTTGTACTTATCAACTTTTTTTACATATATTCTTTTTTCCCACAAAACTATGTGCGAGGGTGTTCCATTTTCAAAAACATCTTAGATTTTTAATTTACTCGGTATTTTACTCATTCATTCATAAAAGTGCCCTTGAGCACAAAAATACAAAAAAATGGCAAATCTCCGACAGTTAAATCTTCCCACACTTCCTTCAATACAACTTAATCATATTCAGACAAAGAATTCCCCATTTCAGAAATCAGAGCTGAAAAACTTTAGAATGTGATATCCATAATACCGATCTGTTAATTAATCTGGAGATTAAATTCATGAGGACAACAAGCAATATTTAATCTGGAGATTAAGAAAAAGAGTGGATCAAGCATTAATCCCGATATCCACCATTCTAAAGTTCCCAGCTCAGTTAGATGAGAAAGAGATAAAACAGTAAATTTTATGAAGCGATTAAAGTCACAATTTTGTCTACAATCAGGGGTGTATTCAAATCAGATAGTTCAGCCACTAGTCCACCAGCATGTGGTAAGTTTTCATCAGATAGTTCAGCCACTAGTCCACCAGAATGTGGTAAGTTTTCATTAGATAGTTCATCCAGTCCACCAGCATGTGGTAAGTTTTCTTTTTCTCTTCCAATTCATTTTCCTAGTATTGGAGCATTGGAAGGAGTCATAAGTAATCTCCTAGTTAGGGAAAGAAACAGTTTTTGCCACCAAATCAAATTTATCTTTGGAACCTTTGATCCAACAGAATTCATAGTTTGAAATATCAAGCAGGTTACAAAAATAATCGATTAAAAAGTCAAAGTCTGTGGCAAGAACTCAGTTCTCCGTTTTCATAATTATTTTTTTAGTTTTAGTGAACTATTGTTTCGAATAACGTTAACACACTAGAGTTTTAAGTAACACAATCTACACTGGCATGTGATTTGCATTTTGCATTGCAATTTTTTCATAACTTCAAATAAAATGAGTTTTTGTCACAAACTCTGATTTTATAATTCCTTTATAAGAATATATATACATACAACTTTTTCAGTGACAGATGTTAGCGGTCTGGTAACTGATAATTCAGGTTACTTTTTTATTTTAAAACTATAATTTCAGTCCGCTTCGCGCCCATTTTTTGAGGATTTATTAAATATCTTTTTGTGGAATTTCAGAATTTTACGAAAATCAAAGTTTGTGATGACACATATTTTTAATTCTGAGCATCCATAAACCTCAAAAATGTTGGGCCCAATCAGTTGAGGCTTTTCGACGGTTATTGGACACAAGCAGACAATCAGACACCCAAGCCAAGTATATATATATATAAACAATCAATTACCGTCTTCAACCTACATGTAGCATATTCTCATGTTTGTTGTTTAGCTTGTTGTAAGAGCATTAAGATATCGGATATGGATGGATCGAATCCTAAATATTATAAACTGGATTTAAACCAGGGTTCATCCTCTACAACACGATATTATAGAGTCTCAGATATCACTGATAACTACTTTTACTGGAGGTTTGTATTTTTATATATACCTTTGGATTGAAATATTTTCTAATACTAGTAATTATTAGTTATAATCTCTCCATATATGAAGAACAAATTACCATTTGACACTGTTAAAAGACTCTTGCAGGGTTTACATCACCTTGGCTTCAACTAAATGTGATTTCACTTGACTCTCCATACAAAGATGACAATACCTGATGCCCTTGAAACCTTTATATGCTTAAATATATGAAAGAATTTGCATTTTTCCAGCTTGAAGTGATAATTTCTGATAATTTCAATATTTTTTCCTGCGGGAGAAATGTGCAAGTCACTTCCACAATTGAAAATAATCAGTTTTTAATATTATATATACAGGGTGTCCCACATCAAATTAGACCGCGTCAATGGGTCTAAATTACGATTTGGGGGACAAATCAGAAAATTTAAGAAGAATGAATCATTTAAAAAAATTTAATAAGGCTAATAGAAAATTTTGTTGGCAGAAAATGCTAGATTTTTCGCGTATTATGTGCGTATTTTGGCGTTGAAGATTGTTGATAATCTAATATGATATGGGACGCTCTGTACATGGATATTGCCATCTTTGGGTCACTAGAAATTAAACTTACAGTACAATCCTTTTTTCATTCTGTTACTTTCTGAAAATGAAATTTGAAAAAACCATAAACTTTTAGTGACGACGAATGGAAATTGAAAGATGACTATGATCTGCCAAAATATGATGATAATTTTTGCTTGGAACAAGTTGATTTTAGTGGGCAGAGTAAGAAAGCTGAATGTGGTAAGTATTTTAAATTAATTAAAGGAATTGAGTCTTTGTCACAAACTATGATTTTCTAATTTCTAATTCTAATCTAATCTTTGTAATCCAATGCCGTAGACCTTAGATATTTCAAACTATGAATTCTGTTAGATGAAAAAATATGAGTTTGAAATATCAAAGGTTTACACCATCCGGTGGAAAAAATATAGATATTAGCAAATCAGAGTTTGTTACAAAGGCTCAATTCCTTTGAAATTTCCTCTATGTGGTTATAAAGTTGTGATTTATCAAACTTCTTCGGCATTATAATGATCCAACTTTGTCAAAACTTGATTTAAAACCAATATTTAAATTTTAACTCATTAATCAGAAAAACATGATTTTGGTTCACAGGAGGTAAAATATATTGAATACTTCTAATTTATTTGATCTTAATAGTTTCAAGCTATAACCTTTAGATTGCATTATTTTATATGCAATGGCTGCAGAAACAACTAAAATATTTCACACTTTTTTTAGCACTTGAATCTGATTTGCCAAAAGATCCATTCTCAGGTAAATTACAAAAACTGTTTAAAGGGAGTGTTCGCGAAAAATGAAAAACGTTGAATCGAATTCTATGGTGATAGCTACTAATCTTCTATCTGTTGCACCTAAAAAGAGAAAATGGTTAAACACGACTCATACCGAAGAGCGTAGCGTGTATACTACATACACATTTCACTCAGAGCTGAAAACTTTAGAATGGTGAATATCGAGATTAATGCTTGGTCCTCTCTTTTTCTTAATATCAAGACTAATCTAAGACTAATCTAATCTTGTACTAGTATCCTGAAAAGTGTATAAAATTCAACCAATCAGAGTCGCGTTTAAGAAGCCTGGAAAGGAATTGAGTTTTTGCAACAAACTTACATTTTCTAACCCCTATATCTTTGCAACCTGATGGTGTAGACCTTTGATATTTCAAACTTAGACTATATGATCTACCAGAATTTATAGTTTGAAATATCAAAGGTCTAGGAAAACGGGTTGCTAAGTTATAGGAATTAGAAAATCTGAGTTTGTGGCAAAAACTCAATTCCTTTGTCTAAATTTGAAATACTTTTTTTGCAAAAGATTTTACCGGATTTTGCAAAGGATTTTCAGATTCAAATTTCGTGTCTGAATCATGTGAGAGATCTCGACCATCCCTGACCTCTGGGATTTTTACTTTAATTTGACCTTTAACCTCTTTACCTTCATTTGACCTTGAGAGTCCTGGTATGTCTGACACAAAGCTCCCCATCTATTCTCAGCAAAGTTCCAATCCTCGACTACCTTTTAAAGGGACTGTATTAATAATTTTAAGTGACCCTCCCTATGTAAAGATGACAATGCCTCATTCACAACAGTACCCTTGAAAACCTTGTTTGGTCAAGTATGAATAAGATATAAATGTTTAAAATTTTGAAACTGTTAAATTTTAATTGTGGTTTCTCCACGAAAATGACTTGTGCATTTCTACTGGAGGAAAAAATAAGGAAAGAAAACAGTTCTGAATCTAGAAAAACAACAATATTTTCCATATTATTGATCAGATAAAGGTTTCCATGGTACCGTTGTGATCGGGGAATAACATCTTTGCTTGGAGGGAAATTTTAAATAACGCTAACATTCTATTTAAAGACAGCAATGAATTTTTAAAAAGAAATCTTGCAGTCCGACACTTTAAAAACTTATAAGTTGAATAGGAAGACGTCTGTTCGGCTCAAGTTAAATTGAATTTATTTTATTTTTATCTTAGTTTCCAGTGATGCCTCTTAAAAGTATATTGATGTACAAAATGTGTTTTTGATATTGATATAAATCATTAGCTGGAAAATAAACTGTTCACGTGAGTTTGGTCTCTACTTAATTTACTTATAGTTGCTTTAAAAGACTAGGAATAGGGCAGAAAAAAGGGACGCAATTGGTCTGGTCACTGGTCACTGATCAGTTGTAAAGGAAACTTTAAATGATATAAAAGTACTTAGCACGACAAATCTCCAATTATGAACCTGTGATGTAGCCGCCTCTATGTTGAGTATCTCCATTGATTTCAAAATATTCTGATTATCTCGTCCTAAAAATATATCCTTTTGAAACCCGAAACTTGTTATAATCATCGATATGGAAACTTTTTAACGAACAGCTAATGAGAGTAGCTAATTTACTTTTCGCGGGCAGATTAAATTCTTCCTTCTTGTTGAAAACTTAAATAATTTTATCAATGAAGCTCAGTGCAGAAACATCTAATTTTTGAATCGTTCGATCAATTTAGAAGTTCTCTGGCCTTGTTTTTTTAGTGGAAATATTAAAAAGTTACAAACTTTCAAGTATTATTCAAATAATCCAGAGACCGAACTTTATAAATTTGAACTACGTCGCTGAACTACCTACTGTCGATTAAAATGTGAACCACTGATTCAAAGTTAAAGATTATGGAAGGACTTGAATCAAATACATTAAATTCGGTTCCAGAAATTGTGAAAGCCTTTTTTTGATGATGCCTGTATTGTAAATGCGTATATCACTTTATAATTCGTATGTATATTTACCACCAAAAACATGGATTTGTTGTGTAACAGGATTCAGGAAAGCACAATGTCCATATCTAGAATGTATTAGTCTAGGCCCCTCACTCCAGACTAGATTCTAAACACACCATTACCAATTGCGTATTTCAATTTTGCACCAGCATTTGCGCGGAATTGCCATCAAAATATGCAATTTGCACACAACGATATATGGCTGGGAACCACACTCTTTGATACATTCTAAACTTTAATTATAATGATTAAAACTCAATAAAAAAATGTTAAAATTTTCAGTACTTTTTGTTTCTTCCATTCTAAAATCATTTACATTTTTTAATCCTGCAATAAAAAAATATTTATAAAGAAAATACTTACTTCTCCCTCTGTTGATAGAATCTGATAGAAAAACTTTTTACAGCTTAAAATCAGGGATGGGCACTTTTTGGATTTTTAAAAAACCGTTCGATCCATGTTCGTTGACGAGAGCTTTTAACTTGTTCGTTCCCATTCCTTAGATTCTCAGATCGATGTGATCGTTGACACGTTAATAGAGTTCGTTAAATGCAAAAATGAACATTCCCTGTAAATGACGCCCAGTCCTAAGCAAAATATGAGACAGAAAAATACAAATCATGATAGATATGGATTATAAATACCATTTAACATATTCGTTAGAATACGTTCATCGATTTTTACAGAAGTATAAAAAACAGCCACATTTTGATGTTCTCAAACTTCTGGTGGAATCGTGCCTTCTATCAATTTTTCCAGAAAAAAAATCTTTCTAACCTCAGATATTTGATGGTAAATTTTGTAAAAATAAAAATAGGAAAATCTAAACATGAAGAAAAATACTTGCAGAAATGTTCATAGAGCGTCATGTATTTCTGATAAAATAAAAGTAATTTTCCTGAACATTATCAATTGCATCTACTCCATTTCCTCCTCCTAATATCCAGAGACCCCATTCTCCAGAACTATAGATTAGAAGATAAACAAGAAATTAAGTCGTCTGCCTTGAATATTTTTTTTCACTTTGCTTATCATAATTTGCCAGTAAAAGAAATCAGTTTTTAGTTTCAGAGAATCATAAATATAAGGCACACAGACATGAATTAATTCTGTGCAGTCGGCTCTGAAGTCTCATCCTTTGTGGGTAACCCTGTATGAATGTACAAACTTTAGAGTTCACAGTGATCCAAAGGCTTCAAGTTCTAAATGAAAAAGCAATGAGAATTTTGCCATTTACTTCTAAAAAAACTAAATCTAAAATCAAGTGCCTTACATGTCAAAACTAAAGAATCAATGAGTCAGTTAGGAAAGTAAAACCAAAGGCAAATGCGTTGCGACACTTCAAAGTCGGCCCATGTCTTGAACATTCTTGCAATTTTTCATCTGAGATACTTTTATATTTCAAAAATTGTATTCTCTACAAGTTTACTTTCATTACACTGTAAAAACTGTTACTTTGACAAAATAAAATAAGCAAAATTATTCATAAGAACAAATTAATCATTCGTTTTGGCGTTATACTTTTTGGTTGAGTAAAAATTAGGCAAGATTTACTAATTAATTGCATGAATTTTAACAAAATAGTTTCAAGGGAACTGAGTTTTTGTCACAAATTCTGATTTTAAAAAGCTATATCTTTTTAACCTAATGGTGTAAACCTTTGATATTTCAAACTATTATAATTTGATCTAAAATGATTGATAGTTTGAAATATCTAAGGTCTCCGACATTAAAATGCAAAGATATAGGGATAAGAAAATCAGAGTTTGTGACAAAAACTCAATTCCTTTTTTTAAAAGTTGAAACAGCCTTTTAAAATTTATGAATTAAAAAACATGTTCTAACGTTTAACAAAAATCTTAAATATTATTTAATACAAAAATATTTTTCCTGTGAATAAAGCTCTTAAAATAATATTGTTTTTTAACCGAATTGGAGAAAATTATCAAAATATGTTTATATTTGAAAAAGGTTTACCTATATTGCACAGGAACGCCAACACCACCACTTGATGGTACTGGAAGATCTTAATTAATTTTTATGATATACTTTAAATTCCATATTTGTCTAATATTCTATTACCCTAAACAGGCTGGCCCGGGGACCACCTTTCGTTTTTTCCCCAACACTCTTGTTTTTGACACTATAACCTTGTTTTTTTACTTTTAAGAAAAAGTAATTTTAAGGATTTTTTGCATTTTTTTTTAATGCAAAGTGAGGTAAAAAGGCTGGTCCGTGTTAAAAAAAAATTATAAAATAGTCCATAACTTTGATATTAAAAACCCCGTTTTTGAAACGGCCTTAAAAATGTGTGTAAAAACATGTGTCGCAACTTAATATTTGTCAAAAAACAAAAAATTTTTTATATATTATTTTATAATAAAAGAAAATATAAGAAAATATAAGAAAGTATAAGAAAATATAAGAAAATATAAGAAAGTATAAGATAATATAAGAAAATATGAGAAAATATAAGAAAACATTATGAAACACAAGAAAACATAAGAAAATATAAGAAAACATAAGAAATATAAGAAAATATAAGAAAATATAAGACATATGAAAAACATGGAAAAAATGAAAAACCTAAAAACTTATGGAAAATACAAAAGATGAAAAAATAAAAATGTAGAGTCGATAAATTAAAAATTAAAAAGATTTTTAAAAATATGAAAATGTGAGCCGGGCAGCCGCAGACTATACATAGATTCAGACCTTTCCAGCCTTTATAGTGTTAAATTCTTAGTTGATCTAATTGTCTTTAAATTTATAATTTACAAAATATTCTTTGAATTTTTTATTATCTAAAATTCTTTAAATTCTTAATGTGTCTGATACTCTTAAAATCTATTTTCACGGTATTTTACACGGTGGAACCTATTTTATTTATACAGTTGAACCTAGAAAACAGTGAAATTCTTGTCGCTTTGAAACAGTTTTAAGTAAAAGAAAAAACAAAGAGGACGTGTAATCCATTGATTTTTGGTTTATCCTCTATCTGTACACCTACTGTACAGTGTACAGTTTTCAGTATATACCTGTGTACAGCTGAGTCCATGTATCTGTACACCTACTGTACAGTGTACAGTTTACAGTATATACCTGTGTACAGCTGAGTCCAAGTATCTGTACACCTACTGTACAGTGTACAGTTTACAGTATATACCTGTGAGTGTGTACAGATGAGTCCATTTATCTGTACACCTACTGTACAGTGTACAGTTTACAGTATATACCTGTGTACAGCTGAGTCCATGCATTTGTACACCTACTGTACAGTGTACAGTTTACAGTATATACCTGTGTACAGCTGAGTCCATGTATCTGTACAATGAAGATATCTCCAGCATCTAGTTTCAGTTATATCCTCATCCCAGTTCTTTTAAAACAATTTTTAAACTTATAATTTAATAAACATATTTGTTTATTTTTTAATCTTTTTTTTTAAAAGCAGTCTCATGTGTAATTGATGTTGGTTTAAAACAAATTGTTTCATATAGCTGTAAAACTTATCAAGAAAAATGTAAACATGTGTTTTATGTGCAGTGTACACTGGACAATTCAAAATAATAATTTGAGTCTAGTAGTCGTCTTTCTATTCCACAGTTTTATCATCGTCCCACTGTATTAAAACTTTAAAAAGAGTATGCGCATCATTTTTAGAAATTGCATTCCTTTCCACCACAAACCACTAAAATAAAATAAATTGTATTATTTTTCTAGGTATCATTTTACTCTGCTAGTATTCAATAATAATCAGCAAACAGGGGAATGATTTGTATCTTTGCTCTTCTTTAAACTAAAGAAGAATTTGTAACTTGTAACTGTAATTATTAACTTCATTCTGTCATTCTACATTGATTGGTTTTCAATATTTAAAAGTGCCAATCAGAAAAATGCAAAAGAAAAAATAAGGCATATGAAAAACATGGAAAATATAAATAAATAACAAGAGAAACAATTATGGAAGCACAAAAGATAAAAGAAATTTTAAAAATTGAGTTCATGAAACACACAAAATTATGAAAAATAAGAAAAATGTGAAAATTGTTTAGTCTATACTCACCCACTCCACCAGTAGGCCCTGACCAAAATCCGTAAGGTGCATCAATGGTATACGGGAAATCCGCAATCTTTATATAATATTTAAATTAAATTTAAACTTAAATTAAATCTTAATTTTGGCAACAAAAGTATACTGTTTCACATTAACATTATTTATTTATCAATTGATTGTTATTATACAATTTGTACAGTTTTTTTTAGATTTTACCTTTTTAGTAAAGTTTTTATCATTTATCAGTTCTGCATCATTTCTCCAGCCGGCAAGATTGGATCCCCCAACTTTTGAAACAAAAAAACCAGTATTAGTAAAAACAAGATCAGAAATTAAAATTTAAGTAATAAAAAGACTTTTATAAACATCTAACGGCCGTTTTTTACCCGTCAGGACATTTGGAGGAAAATGTACGCTAGATTCTGACGTGTGTATTTAGGTTAAGTAACTACAATGTTCATTGTTATTAGGTGCAGTACGTGGAAAAGGGATTTGAAAATAAACCAAAATTTCGTGGAGGGGTGGGAGGGGGGTGGGTGATTTTATTCATGGACTATTTGGGTTATAAAAAGATTTGTAACTTTTTCTTCACCTTAATCATACATGATAAAATGGTAAATGAAGACAACTTCTCATAAATATACAGTGCTTCCCAAAATAAAATGGTAAGCATTGGCGACTTCTCAAAGTATACAGTGCTTCCCAAAATTAAATAACAAGCATTGAAAACTTCTTATAAATATACAGTGCTCCCCAAAATAAGATGGTAAGCATAGACGACTTCTCATAAATATACAGTGCTCCTCAAAATAATGTGGTAAGAATATACGACTTCTCTTAAATATTCAGTGCTCCCCAAAATAATATGGTAAATAAAGACGACTTCTCATAAATATACAGTGTTCCTCAAAATAATATGGCAAGAATATACGACTTCTCTTAAATATTCAGTGCTCCCCAAAATAATATGGTAAATGAAGACGACTTCTCATAAACATACAGTGCTCCCCAAAATAATATGGTAAGTGATGATGACTTTTCATAAATATACAGTGCTTCTTGAAAAATAGATTGCATATTAAAGAAAAGTCGTCTTCACATCACCCTTTTACTACCGTATATTTTTTTAAAAGCCACCAATCTTTACCATTCAATTTTGGGAAGCACTGTTTATTTAATACAAGTCGTCTTTATTTCCACTTTATTTTGGAGAGCACTTAATATTCAAGAGAAGTCGTCTATTCCTACTATATTTTTTTGGGGGAGCACTGTATATTTATAAGAAGTCGTCTTCATTTTCCATATCATTTTGGGGAGTACTGGATATTTTGAAAAGTTGCCAATAGTTACCATTTTATTTTGGGGAGCACTGTATATTTATGAGAAGTTGTCTTCATTTACCATTTTATCATGAATGATTAAGGTGAAGAAAAAGGTACAATTCTTTTTATAACCCAAGCAGTCCATGAATAAAATCACCCCAACCCCCTCAGCGAAATTTTGGTTTATTTTCACATCCCTTTTTCACGTACTGCACCTAATAACAATGTTCAGTGTAGTTGATTAACCTAAATACACACTTCAGAATCTAGCGTACATTTTCCTCCAAATGTCCTGACGGGGTTTTTTAAGGCAGACATTTTGTATACAGTGGGACCCGCTAAAGCGAACACCAAGACGACTGATAAACTAAAATTATGATTTTGAGTATTCCAATAAACATGAAACATATTAATTGAGCAATAATCAGTGGTCCATTTTGTCCCTTGTCCGATTTGCAGCAGTACCCTTTTCCTGATCAAAGATGAATGAGATATCCTAATTTTTTCAAAATAAAACTTTTATATCTTTTTCTGAGATATCCCTATTGAGATAAACAAAATTGACTTGCATATTTATACCCAACAAGAACGAGAGCGTCTTAGCCGAGGTCGAAGACGTCCTGAAGACTCATCAAGACCCTCAGTTTTCCAAAAAGTATAAAATTTTATAAAATATCCTGTAATATGAGATATAATCATTAAAATATTTGGGTACTCTGCTCCCCGACCCCTTTTTCAGGTGTGTTCTCTGTTATCCCCCTTGTCTTGAAGTAGTCTTGTGTCAAGTCTAAAAAAGACTTGTTCCCCCCATCCCCATTTTAGCCTGTTCCTTCCCATATTTTATCCACATGAGTTAGTGGTCTCACCAAGACACGAGGCCAAGACTATGTATGCTTTTACAACTTTCCCAGGATTACCCTTCTGAAAACAAAAATCTTATCCCCCCCTCCAGCATCTAGTTTCAG